GGGTGTATGTGGTGTATCACGGTCGATATCGTCAATCTCTTGGTGAAGGAAGGTCGGGGTGGTCTGGTCGATTGCCTGATCAACTGTCTTTTGTAGGCATTTCTTAAGACAGGGTAACACACAACAAACAAGAAGAGCGAGGATGATCGTTATTAAAATGGCAACACCTATTTGGGCCAGAGCACCTTGCCATTCAGACATCCATCCAAACCATCTTTCCCATGGATCTGTGGCCCCAGAATTTCGTTTCAGTTCATTGGACAAACTCTTTAACTTTTCTATTGCCAACGTTACTTTACCATTAGGGCCTGTATTATCTGGAATATAGGTACAGCATGTCATGGTGTCTGGGAGTATTTTACATACTCTCCCTTTTTCTGCTAAAATCATTTCCAAGCTTATTCTATTCTGGAAGGTCATCTGAGAGATACTTTGTAACCGCCCTATCCCACCATATATCCCATAACAAGTATAGTTCCCGGGCTATATAGTAATGCCTTCGTCTGGGTTAATATTTTTAGTAATGATTGGGTATTAAGTTTCCATGACTCGCATGCTGACCGCTTAGGTTTAAATACAGTGTAGAGACTTAAAACGCACACTTCATATCCGGAGGAAGGTTCAGGGATACTGTACCTGGGTGAGGCCTCGCTCCTCTGCAGACATAGCAGTTAGACTTGTTATGTTTAGTAGCATTGTATTTCATCCATTCAAGTCACAAGTTAGTGTCAGAGAAACCTGTCTCTACAGCCCTCTTATCCTCAAATATGGGATGACTACCATGTCTTTTAAAGTCCTAATGTGTGGTTTGAGGGGATTAACAGTCATGTGCGTGGCACCTACCCATTCAGCTGAGTCATACATGTCCTGTAAGAAAAAGGTCTCCTGTTTATTGTATAAACCTCTTCCCTTCCAATTCAGATTTTATTAGCCGTAATGCTTGGGAGAATAGATTCAAACTTAGTTTCTTACCTTAAAATTATTTGGTACCCCCCTTGACACCCCTATGGCATTAATATACATATATATATGTGTGGGTAAAACCACCCTTTATAGGGGTACTCCTTTTTGTCCTGAAGCATGAATGAGGTGTGTCAAGAGTACCTTGGGGATTGTCATGTGTTATGTGTATGGACATAATAACCTAGGCTAGGGCACATTTACTTATTCTTAGAAATCTTGTCTCATGCTACCCTAGTACTGGCAGATTCAGATCATTTAAACATTCAATATTAATATCACCACAAACTCAAGATAAGCAGATGATCTTGAAGAAGCTTTGACTGTGCGTATGGCACCTCAGACATGAGGGCTGCAGGGTAAGGAGTATGTTTGTTTCTCTTTAGTTTCACGAGGTCCCCTTTTGGGGTATTCAGCTTTCCATCGATGGCAGGTGGTCAGGCATTATTATGGCCATCAAAACACCCACTTGTTGATATTTATTTATTTATTTTCAACAAGTATCTTTGTTCTCTAAGAATGGAGTTTCAAAAAGGGTTGTCAAGATCAACAAATGTTACTTCACATGATGCAGAGGCAGGCTTGATTCTGGAATGATGAACCCACGGGGTGATCTCTGTATCTTTCACGGTGCACTACTCAGCATGTGGTCTTGGTTATCACTTTGGTGGCTGGATAGGCCTCTGGCCATCCTGAAAACATGTCTGCTATAATTAGTGCATATTTGAATCAGCCATTCTTTGGCATTCTGGCGACTTGACTCCTCTGGAAGAGATAATGAGGTTTGGCTAGATGCTTGGGGCTTTCATCCATTCTTCTTGAGTTGCCCTTGGCACAAATGGCACAAGATTTACAGTAACTGTTGGTCAGAGAGGCAATTCCTGGTACTTCAGAGTATTTATTGATCAAAAGAGTTCATGAGGGTTCTGGACAGATGCTCCGTAGGCCCACTGGACCACTGCTGAGTATATGTTCTTGGGCAAGTATAACTTGAGATTGTTGAAGTACAGCCTGTCTTTAAGAGTTGCCCCTTTCTGTTTCCAGCTTGTGGTTTGTTTGTTTTTTTCTTTCTTTCCAGGGTCAGTAGCTTGCTTGTTATTCCTTCGGGAGCTTGATGTCTGTGGGTAGGATCTTACATGGTGAATATGGGAGTTTCTTCAGCAGACACTTTCCTGTCCACTTCCCTTAGTGCACTTACAACTTTTTGAACAACTTAGTCAGCCAGAGAGCTGCCACATGCTTCCTCTGAGTTCAGTCTTCCTTCAGAGATCTTGCATGGTGTGATGGGAGTCTATAGCTCAGCTTCTTGTGCAGACATTGTTGAGGTGAGATACTTGGTCCACTGTAGTGACAGCAAATCCGGAACAGAACATAAGAAAAAGGCTAAAAAAAAATAATAGTCAGTGTCTTATCATTTCCCCCCTTGGGAAGTGGCAGAAGAGTGGCCAGGTAAATAGAGTATCATCCCTGCAGGGTGACATTATCCTGCACAGAATTCGTCCATCACAAGGAGAGGTGGGATATTGCATGGAAAGTCTCAGGTAACCAGGGCAACATTCGACACCAGAGCCTTAACCTGTTAGGGAATAGTAAGAGCTTGGACAGGCTTTGGGGCCTGTATAATTCAGGTAAAGGTATTGGGGGAACTAGCTAGGACCCTTGCCTCTTGGTCAGGTTTCACTGTGTGGAACAAAATGAATAATAAGGTGATAGGGGCCTGCAAGTGGGGGAAGGACATCTGCACCTAGCAGATTAATTGGACAGGTGAAGGTAACCACAAAGCAAGGCTTAGTTAACAGGCTACTCCAAGGAGAGCCATCTACACTTATGCAGGAGACAACAATGTTAGACAGGAATGAGGAGTCAGGCAGGCCTTGCTTGGTACAAATAGATGTCATGTGGCCTGCTATACAAGGCTGCATATAGTTATTGGGCATGGGCCTTACTATGTACTAAAACTTAAGTTAAAAGAAAATTTGGGACAACCTGAAGTGATGCTTCTCCACAGATGCTAACTCATCGTTGATGACATTGTTAATACAGGTAGCCTGATCAGCCAATTTATCTTAGGCTTAAACAAGTCACACCATGTAGTGGAATGGGTCATTAGGATTCGGGAAATTCTACAGTAAAAGGGCATAGTAAGGATGTACGCGATGTTACTTTAGGAGTAGGCGTGGCTGTGGATAGGGGGAAATCAGCCTTATCCATTCCCATATATTATTCCTTTTGTCTTCAGTATATCCAAACCATATGTATGTCCAGGCGTTGCAATATACAGTAATCCATTATCAGTCATGATATTAAAATCTCATTCTCATTAATTAAATCAAAGATTTTAAATCAACCTCAGAAGTAACAACATTGTTTTTTACCTTCTGTAAAATGATTGGAGTTACTGTATAATTGCATACACCCAATATAACATACATTGCATGTTCCTCACTGCTACATTAGTGTATTTCATTCTGCCATATTTGCAAACTTGATGTACATTTTTATTTTAATTAATTAACCTAATACTTTCTTAAAATACATATAAAACAATGAAAAAACAGTACAGACTAACAATTCATTTAAAACAACAAACTAACATAGATCTCTATTCTTGTGCTGTTCTTAATTCTGGAATCAGCCTGTGCACATCTGTTGGCACACATATCCATGCTCATTCCCTAAACTGATCATATCTCTTGAAGTTATCTGATTCTTATAACTTTCTGTGTTACACTGCATTGCTTGTCTGTCTCCTAATTTTGATTTAGCTAAAATTGTTCTTATTTGTCTGATTATAAGTTTACAAGGAAAGGCCTTTATTGATTTATCTCCACGTGTATTTTCTCTGTCAAAATTTTCAATCAACAAATTTAATTTCTCATTTGCTTTTGATTTGATATCTCGGATAAAATATCTGCAAGATCTTAAATAATGTTGTTTATTGCACCAAAAACAAATAACTTTAGGAGTTATATTCTGCCCTATATTATCAACTGCCCTATATTTAGTTGAATAAATTGGGAGGGGCTCAGCTGTCTGTATCACTCTACACTCTGTCCTAGAAGAAGAAGAAGAAGGAGGGGGACGGGGGCTGTAACATCTGCACTTCTTTCTCTGCCTAAAGCCACAAGTCGTTTTAACCCCTTCATTCTTGGTTTCCCTCCTTAAGTTATCCAAGAACAAAGCTACTTCTATCAAAGTGCTTTTTTCTCTGGCTACCACAATTGCAGTTGGATCTAGATCTTGAAATTTTTTCACAAATTCATTAATTAACTGATCTTCAGAAAAATCAGCAACAAGTCTATATGCATTTTCAAATTTTACAAGAAAACTAAATATATCCTCCCCTTTGTGTGGTTTTAGTTTTTCCAACATTTCAGTGTCTGCAAAATCATTCCCTGTTGTTAATTTTATTAATTGTGTTAATCTGTCTCGCTTATTTCCATATATTATTTCATCATTGTCCTCAAATTTTAGGGGCGTGGTCAGCCTACATGCCATTTGAGTCGGCAGCCATATTTTAAATAGTCTATTCCTTTGTTCGTCATTTAGGCTATATTTGTCCACATTTGACTCAAACATTTCAGCATTAGTAAATGCATCCACTGACGTGTCATAAACTGGAATACATTTCACAATTTTCATTAATTGTTCATGTATTTTCAAATTAAGTTTTGCAGCTCTGTCTTGAAATTTACATTTCTGCAAATCACTCTGTGAGGATACATTTTCAGTATCAGTTGGTTCTGGGATTAGATTCTGTGCCTGTATTTGTCTTCTATTAACACACACTTGCTTTACTTCATTTGTAAACTGGCAACTAAAATCATTTCTTAGTTCATCTCTATCCTCTAATTCACAGACTTTTTCTGACAATGTGCTCTCTGTTACATTGTTACACTGTTCATTTAAATCTGATTTGTCTTCTGTTAACCCATTCAAATCTATTTCTTTTTCTGATGATTCTAAATTTTCTTGACCTGCATTTCGTTTACAAATCAATGCATTGTAAGTACAGACTAGTTTCATAACATTTCTGATCTTTTTTTTTTTTTTTTATTAACAAACAATTTCTTGTCAATTTCACTATTGGCAATTTCACATTGTGTGTATAAAGATTGCCACAAAACAGCATCTGAATAACTGCTATTAAATGCAAACTGCAATTTACTTTTCTCTGCGATATCATTTATAAATTCCACAATTCATTTGTTCCAACAAAATCTAACTTTCCTTATTCCAACATGCCAATAACCTCTTGCTTAACAACATATACAAGATTACACAAAGTTCCTAACTAGGTTATTCGTCCAGCAAATATACCTTGTTTCCCTCACATTCCTCACTGAGTTTACAAGCATTTCACCCATTCACCCCACCCCCCTGTAGCCAATACTCATAGCAGTCAGAGCAAGAGAAAGCAACAAAGAAGGAGGGGGGAGGAGGGAGGAAGACTTGCAAGCACAAAGTTTTTTTAACCATGTGATTGCCTAAGCACAGCTCTCCTTAGGACAAAAGATAGAATAGGAGAGTAACGATACAAATTGTATAGATTACAATTAACATATATGGTACCCAACAAGACATACACAGACAAAAGCACAAAATACAGATGTAATTAAATCACAAAGTTCTTAAAATAAATGCCGGCTTATAATAAATCAAATCACACACACAGAAACACTCAAGCACATAAACCGCTCCTTTACCAAAGCTTAGCTATTTAAACTCTTGACCGAGTCTTAATAAAACAAAGGAACCGCCAGGTTTTTTACCAAACGAGGCCAAAACATCACTCACTAGCTTCTTTACCAAAGCTTAGCTAAAATATTTTTTATTTTTTTATTTTTTTTATTTATTTATTTTTTAATTATTTTATTTATTTATTTTTAAACTCTTGACCGAGTCTCGCAATAACTTCTTTACCGAAGCTTAGCTAAAATAAATATAGAGCCAGGGGTTTTCCACCAAACCCGAACTTGGCTAAACCTGCAAGTGCTTAACCACACTTGGCAGCATTATATAACAGTATTAAGCAAGTAGTAAAACAGATTCTCAAACAGACACTTTCACACATAAAACTCACACTCAGGACTCAGGCTGTAGATAGACAAGTGACAGGTTCTATATAAAAGGGGACATTCAGGCATATATATATTACCTGTCTGAAGACGTTAAACACCGGAAGCCGAATGTGAAGGCACGGAGAACAAGAGAAATCCAAAGAAAGGAAAATATAGGTAAGTAACTCATTTACCATATGCAGAGGTGATCAGGCTCCGTTTCCAATCTCTGGGAATCCTTTGCTCTCCTGTCTTGGGATCTGACGGCTGCCTTAGTAACGTATCCCTTAAATGCCCGCATTCTCCACCAAATTGTTTTGGATCAAAGAAAACTTTGATTATTTGTCTATCTACACCTTCCAAATTGATTAATTAATGCGTGCACGCTTTCCCTAGAAGTAATTCACACCGGAGACAAAGTTTCTGATCAGTGAAAAACCCAGGAATGCTTTATTCCCCGGAGTGGGGGCTCCTTCTTAAAGCAAAAATACGTCACAGTTTAAACATACAGTATACATTCACCAATTGGTTAACAGAGAAAGGGGGCTCTTGTTTAAACCCCCCTACAGAATGGAGCCTTTTAAGGTGCCATTCATGCCATTCATGCCATTCATGTAGTGTCATCATTACACACTTTTGGATACACGATGGGAGGGGGAGTGAGTGGTATCTATCAGTTCTAAACCAATGATCCTCCATTTAGCTATATATGGCATATAGCTGTTAACTGGCACAAAGGTAGTGGGGGAGGGGAGGCTAGCAGGATGTGAGGAATTTACATAGTAAACAGCAGCTGACCACATTGTAGGGGGGGAAGGGAATATTTACTCTAGAAGCCAGTTTTAACATAGTGAACAGAGAATAAATAGACATTAGTAAATAGCCATTTTATTTTAATTCATCTGTCCATAACAGTCCCCCTTAAAATGGCAATTTTTACTAAAACTACTATCTCTCATTCTAATACTGTCCCTATAGAAAAATAACAAAAGGCTATCTTGCACATCTGTCTGAACAGGCCTCGAACACTTCACTGCGCGGGTACCCCATAGCAGCTTGTCCACTACTTCTCCCGCGGCAGACTTCTGCCCGTAGAGACAGACGCTATCCCTAAATGTCCTTAAGAGGAAGTAGCTGTTGATTTAGTGCGGTGGGACTGTAAGGGTGTATGTGGTGTATCAAGGTCGATGTCGTCAATCTCTTGGTGAAGGAAGGTCGGGGTGGTCTGGTCGATTGTCTGATCAACTGTCTTTTGTAGGCATTTCTTAAGACAGGGTAACACACAACAAACAAGAAGAGCGAGGATGATTATCGTTATTAAAATGGCAACACCTATTTGGGCCAGAGCACCTTGCCATTCAGACATCCATCCAAACCATCTTTCCCATGGATCTGTGGCCCCAGAATTTCGTTTCAGTTCATTGGACAAACTCTTTAACTTTTCTATTGCCAACGTTACCTTACCATTAGGGCCTGTATTATCTGGAATATAGGTACAGCATGTCATGGTGTCTGGGAGTATTTTACATACTCTCCCTTTTTCTGCTAAAATCATTTCCAAGCTTATTCTATTCTGGAAGGTCATCTGAGAGATAGTTTGTAACCGCCCTATCCCACCATATATCCCATAACAAGTATAGTTCCCGGGCTATATAGTAATGCCTTCGTCTGGGTTAATATTTTTAGTAATGATTGGGTATTAAGTTTCCATGACTCGCATGCTGACCGCTTAGGTTTAAATACAGTGTAGAGACTTAAAACGCATACTTCATATCCGGAGGAAGGTTCAGGGATACTGTACCTGGGTGAGGCCTCGCTCCTCTGCAGACATAGCAGTTAGACTTGTTATGTTTAGTAGCATTGTATTTCATCCATTCAAGTCACAAGTTAGTGTCAGAGAAACCTGTCTCTACAGCCCTCTTATCCTCAAATATGGGATGACTACCATGTCTTTTAAAGTCCTAATGTGTGGTTTGAGGGGATTAACAGTCATGTGCGTGGCACCTACCCATTCAGCTGAGTCATACATGTCCTGTAAGAAAAAGGTCTCCTGTTTATTGTATAAACCTCTTCCCTTCCAATTCAGATTTTATTAGCCGTAATGCTTGGGAGAATAGATTCAAACTTAGTTTCTTACCTTAAAATCATTTGGTACCCCCCTTGACACCCCTATGGCATTAATATACATATATATATATGTGTGTGGGTAAAACCACCCTTTATAGGGGTACTCCTTTTTGTCCTGAAGCATGAATGAGGTGTGTCAAGAGTACCTTGGGGATTGTCATGTGTTATGTGTATGGACATAATAACCTAGGCTAGGGCACATTTACTTATTCTTAGAAATCTTGCCTCATGCTACCCTAGTACTGGCAGATTCAGATCATTTAAACATTCAATATTAATATCACCACAAACTCAAGATAAGCAGATGATCCTGAAGAAGCTTTGACTGTGCGTATGGCACCTCAGACATGAGGGCTGCAGGGTAAGGAGTATGTTTGTTTCTCTTTAGTTTCACGAGGTCCCCTTTTGGGGTATTTGGCTTTCCATCGATGGCAGGTGGTCAGGCATTATTATGGCCATCAAAACACCCACTTGTTGATATTTATTTATTTATTTATTTATTTTCAACAAGTATCTTTGTTCTCTAAGAATGGAGTTTCAAAAAGGGTTGTCAAGATCAACAAATGCTACTTCACATAATGCAGAGGCAGGCTTGATTCTGGAATGATGAATCCACGGGGTGATCTCTGTAACTTTCACAGTGCACTACTCAGCATGTGGTCTTGGTTATCACTTTGGTGGCTGGATAGGCCTCTGGCCATCCTGAAAACATGTCTGCTATAATTAGTGCATAGTTGAATCAGCCATTCTTTGGCATTCTGGATGTAGTCGACTTGACTCCTCTGGAAGAGATAATGAGGTTTGGCTAGATGCTTTGGCTCCATTCTTCCTGAGTTGCCCTTGGCACAAATGGCACAAGATTTACAGTAACTGTTGGTCAGAGAGGCAATTCCTGATACTTCAGAGTATTTATTGATCAAAAGAGTTCATGAGGGTTCTGGACAGATGCTCCGTAGGCCCACTGGACCACTGCTGAGTATATGTTCTTGGGCAAGTAGAACTTGAGATTGTTGAAGTACAGCCTGTCTTTAAGAGTTGCCCCTTTCTGTTTCCAGCTTGTGGTTTGTTTGTTTTTTCTTTCTTTCCAGGGTCAGTGGGTAGGATCTTACATGGTGAATATGGGAGTTTCTTCAGTAGACACTTTTCTGTCCACTTTCCTTAGTGCACTTACAACTTATTGAACAACTTAGTCAGCCAGAGAGTTGCCACATGCTTTCTCCGAGATCAGTCTTCCTTCAGAGATCTTGCATGCTGTGATGGGAGCCTATAGCTCAACTTCTTGTGCAGACATTGTTGAGGTGAGATACCTGGTCCACTGTAGTGACAGCAAATCCGGAACAGATCATAAGAAAAATGCTAAAAAAAAAATAATAGTCAGTGTCTTATCATTTCCCCCCTTGGGAAGTGGCAGAAGAGTGGCCAGGTAAATAGAGTATCCCTGCAGGGTGACATTATCCTGCACAGAATTCGTCCATCACAAGGAGAGGTGGGATATTGCATGGAAAGTCTCAGGTAACCAGGGCACCATTCGACACCAGAGCCTTAACCTGTTAGGGAATAGTAAGAGCTTGGACAGGCTTTGGGGCCTGTATAATTCAGGTAAAGGTATTGGGGGAACTAGCTAGGACCCTTGCCTCTTGGTCAGGTTTCACTGTGTGGAACAAAATAAATAATAAGGTGATAGGGGCCTGCAAGTGGGGGAAGGACATCTGCACCTAGCAGATTAATTGGACAGGTGAAAGTAACCACAAAGCAAGGCTTAGTTAACAGGCTACTCCAAAGAGAGCCATCTACACTTATGCAGGAGACAACAATGTTAGACAGGAATGAGGAGTCAGGCAGGCCTTGCTTGGTACAAATAGATGTCATGTGGCCTGCTATACAAGGCTGCATATAGTTGTTGGGCATGGGCCTTACTATGTACTAAAACTTAAGTTAAAAGAAAATTTGGGACAACCTGAAGTGATACTTCTCCACAGATACTAACTCATCGTTGATGACATTGTTAATACAGGTAGCCTGATCAGCCAATTTATCTTAGGCTTAAACAAGTCACACCATGTAGTGGAATTGGTCATTAGGATTCGGGAAATTCTACAGTAAAAGGGCATAGTAAGGATGTACGCGATGTTACTTTAGGAGTAGGCGTAGCTGTGGATAGGGGTAAATTAGCCTTATCCATTCCCATATATTATTCCTTTTGTCTTCAGTATATCCAAACCATGTGTATGTCCAGGCGTTACAATATACAGTAATCCATTATCAGTCATGATATTAAAATCTCATTCTCATGAATTAAATCAAAGATTTTAAATCAACCTCAGAAGCAACAAAGAATAAATCTATTGTTTTTTCTTCTGTAAAATGATTGGAGTTACTATATAATTGTATACACCCAACATAACATTGCATGTTCCTCACTGCTACATTAGTGCATCTCATTCTGCCATATGTGCAAACTTGATTTAAATTTTTATTTTAATTAACCTAATACTTTCTTATAACACATATAAAAACAATGAAAGACAGTACAGACTAACAATTCATTTAAAACAATAAACTGACATAGATCTCTATTCTTGTGCTGTTCTTAATTCTGGAATCAGCCTGTGTACAGCTGTTGGTACACATATCCATGCTCATTCCCTAAACTGATCATATCTCTTGAAGTTATCTGATTCTTATAACTTTCTGTGTTACACTGCATTGCTTGTCTGTCTCCTAATTTCCATATATTATTTTATCATTGTCCTCAAATTTTACAAGCGTGGTCAGTCTACATGCCATTTGAGTCGGCAGCCATATTTTAAACAATCTATTCCTTTGTTCGTCATTTAGGCTGTATTTGTCCACATTTGACTCAAACATTCCAGCATTAGTAAATGCATCCACTGACGTGTCATAAACTGGAATACATTTCACAATTTTCATTAATTGTTCATGTATTTTCAAATTAAGTTTTGCAGCTCTGTCTTGAAATTTATATTTTCTGCAAATCACTCTGTGAGGATACATTTTCAGTATCTATTGGTTCTGGGATTAGATTCTGTGTCTGTATTTTTCTTGTATTAACACACACTTGCTTAACTTCATTTCTAAGCTGGCAAATAAGATCATTTCTTAGTTCAACTCTATCCTCTAATTCACAGACTGTTTCTGACTGTTTACAGCATGTGCTCCCTGTTACATTGTTACACTGTTCATTTAAATCTGATTTGTCTTCTGTTAACCCATTCAAATCTACTTCTTTTTCTGATGATTCTAAATTGTCTTGACCTGCATTACGTTTACAAATCAATGCACTGTAAGTACAGACTAGTTTCATAACATTTCTGATCTTTTGTTTTTTCTTATTAACAAACAATTTCTTGTCAATTTCACTATTGGCAATTTCACATTGTGTGTATAAAGATTGCCACAATACAGCATCTGAATAGCTGCTATTATATGCAAACTGCAATTTACTTTTCTCTGCAATATCATTTATGAATTCCACAATTCATTTGTTCCAACAAAATCCAACTTTCCTTATTCCAACATGCCAATAACCTCTTACTTAACAACATATACAAGATTACACAAAGTTCCTAACTAGGTTATTCGTCCAGCAAATATACCTTGTTTCCCTCACATTCCTCACTGAGTTTACAAGCATTTCACCCATTCACCCCACCCCCTGTAGCCAATACTCATAGCAGTCAGAGCAAGAGAAAGCAACAAAGAAGGAGGGGGGAGGAAGACTTGCAAGCACAAAGTTTTTTAACCATGTGATTGCCTAAGCACAGCTCTCCTTAGGACAAAAGATAGAATAGGAGAGTAACGATACAAATTGTATAGATTACAATTAACATATATGGTACCTAACAAGACATACACAGACAAAAGCACAAAATACAGATGTAATTAAATCACAAAGTTCTTAAAATAAATGCCGGCTTATAATAAATCAAATCACACACAGAAACACTCAAGCACATATACAACAACTTCACTCTTTGTTTGTTGTTTTTTATTAAAACAACAAAAGAATCGCCACGATCTATTTTTAATATGAATCGGACAAAAAACTAAACCTCCAGGGGCTATTCTGCACGCCTGAACTTAAAGGAAAAACAACAAAGGAAACGCCACGATCTATTCTTAATCGGACAAAAACTAACCACCAGGGGCTATTCTGCACACCTGAATTTAAATGAAAAACAACAAAGGAAACGCCACGATCTATTCTTAATTGGACAAAAACTAACCACCAGGGGCTATTCTGCACACCTGAATTTAAATGAAAAACAACAAAGGAAACGCCACGATCTATTCTTAATCGGACAAAAACTAACCACCAGGGGCTATTCTGCACACCTGAATTTAAATGAAAAACAACAAAGGAAACGCCAAGAATTAATATTAAAATATTAATTAATATAATCTGGCCTAAAAACTCCAGGTATATTTGCACCCTGAATTAAATAATCACAAGAAAGTAAAACAGATTCTCAAACAGACACTTTCACACATAAAACTCACACTCAGGACTCAGGCTGTAGATAGACAAGTGACAGGTTCTATATAAAAGGGGACATGTGGGCATACTATATACCTGTCTGACGTTAACCACAGGAAGCCGAGTGAAGGCCCAGAGTGCAGACCAATTCCAAAGAATGGAAAATATAGGTAAGTTACTCATTTACCATATGCAGAGGTGATCAGGCTCTTTTTTTTTTTTTTTTCAATCTCTGGGGGTCTCCTCTCCGGTCCTGGGATTTTACGGCTTCGAGCAGAATAACAACAACCCTCTCGTCCCTGTTCGGAAGTGCGCCAACTGATTTGGACCAAAGAAAACTTTGATAATTTGTCTATCTACACCTTCCAAATTGATTGATTAATGCGTGCACGCTTTCCCTAGAAGTAATTCACACCGGAGACAAAGTTTCTGATCAGTGAAAAACCCAGGAATGCTTTATTCCCCAGAGTGGGGGCTCCTTCTTAAAGCAAAAATACGTCACAGTTTAAACATACAGTATACATTCACCAATTGGTTAACAGAGAAAGGGGGCTCTTGTTTAAGCCTCCCTACAGAATGTAGTGTCATCATTACAGACTTTTGGATACACGATGGGAGGGGGAGTGAGTGGTATCTATCAGTTCTAAACCAATGATCCTCCATTTAGCTATACGTGGCATATAGCTGTTTAACTGGCACAAAGGTAGTGGGGGAGGAGTTAGTAAAGGGAGCTGTTAACACAGGAATTTTGTTTACACAAGGTTTGCTTGATTTGAAGGGGGATGCTTATCAGGATGAAGAATTTACATAGTAAACAGCAACTGAACACATTGTAGGGGGCGAAGGGAATATTTACTCTAGCAGCCAGTTTTAACATAGTGAACACAGAATAAATAGACATTAGTAAATAGCCATTTTATTTTAATTCATCTGTCCATAACAGAACTTCACCACAATAGCAGGAATAGTCCTTCTCCGGTCAGCCAGTTTGCAAGCCTTAGGGTGCTCCGGGTTAAGGAGGGATTCTGGGCTGTATAGCCGGCTGGCAGGCATAACTTTCATGTGGGTCCCCAGCCCAGAATGGTGTTGGCAATCCGGTTTAGGATTGTTCTGCAAACAGTGGTGGTAGGGGTTCTTCAACGGATATTCTTCCAGAAAGCTTGACACACCTTGTCAAATCTGGCCTCAAAGCTCACTTTCCAGGCTTGGATTGTTTAACCTTCCGAGTGTAGTATATGTTCAAGCTCGGCAGACATCTTGGACTCGCCATGCGGTGATCGGCTAGGCAGGTGATACCGTTAGTGCACGTAAGGTTTCTCCAGTGGGCACCGCACCGGTCCAGAGGGGGGATTGTGGGGCCTTAGAGTGAACTCTGTTGAGAGCTAGCCCTATGTTGGGAGATCGGCCGCCTCCCCCGGTCACCGGGCCACCAGGCATGCTAGGCCTCTTGGTCGGACGACTGGAATGCGCAGAGTACTGGCTGAAATCAGGCATTATCTTGTTCCCGCTTGGTACATGTCAGGCCAGATCACTCGTGTGGCTTAAATCCTGGAGCTTTTGAACAGTGAAGACAGATTTTGTGCACTAACAGGTCAGAGCCAAGTAGAAACGCGTCTGGCCATCTTGGCTATCAAGCCCCACCCCAAAAATATATTTTTTTTAAATAAAAATATTAAAGAGCTAGTAAAAGTGCAGATGCAAGCAGCAACATGAATTAGAGGAATGTAAACGTTTGCTAGAAAAAAAAATGCATCTCAATGGAGCATGATAACATATGAAAATATAGTAACACCTACTGCAAATGAAAGGGCTCTATACAGTAAACATGAAAATGATGCAGAATTCTCTGCCTGTTTGTTTTAGATTATGTACCTTATTTTGGATCAGCTGTAATAGGGCTATAAATATATCTTCCAAAATAATCACCACCATATTGAGAGGCTATCTTAGTGCGAGAAGTGGGGTCTATTGTCCTACAATTTTGAACTGATCCTGAGAGCAATCAATGTGTTATGCAGTCGCCATAATTTCCATAAAAAAGTTGCAGACATGTTATGGGGTATGATATCTACATATCCAATACAGGCCATAGTAAGGCCTAATTTGGAACAAGACAATCATTCAGGAAAAGTAAACTGCAATTGGCCCTCTGGAATAAGCACAGCAAAGAAGTCAAGTTAGTACTTTAGTACACAGTTTCCCCCAGAGGAATTAGGAAGTATTCATCTGGAGGGATATTGAAATTGTGAATCCACAAAGCACCATTTACCTTGTTCCATATTGAGGCACAGGTATCCTGTAGGAATTTCACATTGGGCTGAAAGATGTCAAATTAAATAATGGTATAGTATGGTTTAAATTACGAATATTAAACAGGGACAATTTCAAAAGACAACTCAAGGTACTAACAAAAAAATAAATAAATAAAGCTAAAGCAAATTAACCCCTTAAGGACTGGACTGTTTTTGCGATGTTGTACATTTGCGACCAGACATATTTTTACACTTTTGTGGTGTTTGTGTTTGGCTGCAATTTTCCGCTCTCTCATTTACTGTTCCCATACAAATTATATATTGTTTTTTTCAGGACAAAAGGGGCTTTCTTTACATACCATTATTTATATAATCTCATGTATTTTAATTTAAAAAAAATAAAAAAATATGATGAAAAATTGAAAAAATACATGTTTTTTTGACTTTTACTTGAAAAATCTTTTACTCATCTACAAAAGCGAATTAAAAAAACTGCTAAATAGATTCAAAATTTTGTCCTGAGTTTAAAAATACCCCGTGTTTACATGCTTTTTTGCTTTTTTTTGCATGTTATAGGGCTATAGGTACAAGTAGAATATTGCGGTTTCAAAACATAAATTTTTTAAATTTATCAATAGTGACATTGTAACACTATTATCTGTCATAAATCTCTGAATAACACCCCACATGTACATATTTTTTTTAAAGTAGACAACCCAGGGTATTCAATATGGGGTATGTCCAGTCTTTTTTAGTAGCCACTTAGTCGAAAACACTGGCCAAAGTAAGCATTCATATTTGTTTGTGTGTGAAAAAAGTAAAAAAACTAAATTGAACGCTAATTTTGGCCAGTGTTTGTGACCAAGTGGTTACTAAAAAAGACTGGACATACCCCATTTGCAATACCTTGGGTTGTCTTCTTTTGCAAATGGTATGCCATCATGGGGGTAATTCTCATTCCTGGGCTACCATACGCTCTCAAAGGCAACGTAACCAACCTGGCCATTTTCAATGTAAAAATATTTGACCCATATATTTGACCTTGTAACTTTCAAAAATGCTATAAAACCTGTACATGGGGGGTACTGTTTTACTCAGGAGACATCGCTGAACACAAATATTAGTGTTTAAAAACTGGAAAACGTATCACAACAATTATATCATCAGTAAAAGTGCTGTTTGTGTGTGAAAAATGCAAAAAAAGTCACTTTCACTGACAATATCATCGCTGTGATATGTTTTACTGTTTTGAATCACTAATATTTGTGTTCAGCGAAGTCTCCCGAGTAAAACAGTACCCCCCATGTACAGGTTTTAGGGTGTCGTAGAACGTTACAGGGTAAAATACAGTGCTAGCAAATTCAATTCTCTGGAATTTCGGCCTGGGTTGGCAGGCAGGTCCCTTAAATTGCAATCAATAAAATTACTGAATTATGTAAAACTATTACATAAATACGCACGTAGAATTTAAATATATATGCATATTTATATATTTGAAGTCTATGTGTATATTTATATAATTATTTATGTAATTTTGTATATGGACATATGTATATTTCTTACTATTTTTATTTATTTTTATATACATAGATATATATATACAAATTCATTCTAAGTGTATTTTGATATAAATATATATATATTAATTTTAAAATACAGTTAGAATAAAATTTCATATAGATATAATTTTTTTTAATTTTTTTATTATTTTTAATTTTTTTAATTTAATTTAAATTACTTATTATTTATATTTTATAATAATATATATACAATATATATAGTTATTATATATATTATATATATACGTGTGTAATTTAATTATAAGTGTATTTTTATCTTAATATAAGTCCATATTAATATAAAAATACACTTAGTATGGCATTATATATATATGATATACAGGGAGTGCAGAATTATTAGGCAAATGAGTATTTTGACCACATCATCCTCTTTATGCATGTTGTCTTACTCCAAGCTGTATAGGCTCGAAAGCCTACTACCAATTAAGCATATTAGGTGATGTGCATCTCTGTAATGAGAAGGGGTGTGGTATAATGACATCAACACCCTATATCAGGTGTGCATAATTATTAGGCAACTTCCTTTCCTTTGGAAAAATGGGTCAAAAGAAGGACTTGACAGGCTCAGAAAAGTAAAAAATAGTGAGATATCTTGCAGAGGGATGCAGCACTCTTAAAATTGCAAAGCTTCTGAAGCGTGATCATCGAACAATCAAGCGTTTCATTCAAAATAGTCAACAGGTCGCAAGAAGCGTGTGGAAAAACCAAGGCGCAAAATAACTGCCCATGAACTGAGAAAAGTCAAGCGTGCAGCTGCCACGATGCCACTTGCCACCAGTTTGGCCATATTTCAGAGCTGCAACATCACTGGAGTGCCCAAAAGCACAAGGTGTGCAATACTCAGAGACATGGCCAAGGTAAGAAAGGCTGAAAGACGACCACCACTGAACAAGACACACAGCTGAAACGTCAAGACTGGGCCAAGAAATATCTCAAGACTGATTTTTCTAAGGTTTTATGGACTGATGAAATGAGAGTGAGTCTTGTTGGGCCAGATGGATGGGCCCGTGGCTGGATTGGTAAAGGGCAGAGAGCTCCAGTCCGACTCAGACGCCAGCAAGGTGGAGGTGGAGTACTAGTTTGGGCTGGTATCATCAAAGATGAGCTTGTGGGGCCTTTTCGGGTTGAGGATGGAGTCAAGCTCAACTCCCAGTCCTACTGCCAGTTCCTGGAAGACACCTTCTTCAAGCAGTGGTACAGGAAGAAGTCTGCATCCTTCAAGAAAAACATGATTTTCATGCAGGACAATGCTCCATCACACGCGTCCAAGTACTCCACAGCGTGGCTGGCAAGAAAGGGTATAAAAGAAGAAAAATCTAATGACATGGCCTCCTTGTTCACCTGATCTGAACCCCATTGAGAACCTGTGGTCCATCATCAAATGTGAGATTTACAAGGAGGGAAAACAGTACACCTCTCTGAACAGTGTCTGGGAGGCTGTGGTTGTTGCTGCACGCAATGTTGATGGTGAACAGATCAAAACACTGACAGAATCCATGGATGGCAGGCTTTTGAGTGTACTTGCAAAGAAAGGTGGCTATATTGGTCACTGATTTGTTTTTGTTTTGATAGTCAGAAATGTATATTTGTGAATGTTGAGATGTTATATTGGTTTCACTGGTAATAATAAATATTTGAAATGGGTATATATTTGTTTTTTGTTAAGTTGCCTAATAATTATGCACAGTAATAGTCACCTGCACACACAGATATCCCCCTAACATAGCTAAAACTAAAAACAAACTAAAAACTACTTCCAAAAATATTCAGCTTTGATATTAATGAGTTTTTTGGGTTCATTGAGAACATGGTTGTTGTTCAATAATAAAATTAATCCTCAAAAATACAACTTGCCTAATAATTCTGCACTCCCTGTATAGACATATATTATATACATATATGTCTATATATCATATATACACATATATAATTTTTTTTATTTTTTATTAACACTAACTTTATTTTTTTTCTGATTTTACACTAGCAGGGAGACTGCCTGTCAGCACAGACAGTCCCCCTGCAGGCAGACACATGGACACCTATTGTGACCATGTGATCGCTGTGTTAAGCGATCACATGGCCACAGGGGTCCTAATCTGCCGTGGGGAGACTGCCTGGGCTGCAGGCAGTCTCCCCACAACCGGAGCCACGCTGATCGCCGCCGGGGGAATGACGGCGATCAGGTAAGTAACGGAGACCGTTAGGACGGTTCAGGACCGTCATCGGTCCTCAAGGCAAAAATGCCGATGACGGTCCTGAACCGTCCTCGGTCGCTAAGGGGTTAAATAAATAAACTTTATATTATTAATCACAAATGTGCTTGAAACATCCACAAACACAATTTCAAGTTCACAATGCATATAGTCCAAGTTTCTGGGGAACCACCTAGTAAGCACAAGCAGCCCAAACATCACTACATTACTGATCTCTACTTGGGACAATAACATGAAGTTATTATAATAGGGCCTTCTAATAGGAGTTCTTGAATGTCAACATCATGTATTTGTCGATTTTTTAAGTCCTCCTTGGAATGAGCAAGTTGTAGCAAAGCAACAAATAAAAAACCCAAGGAGCATCTGGGCAAGTGTTGGAATAATTTATTTGTTTTGGGGAAGTGGCTATACAATTAAAGTGTGAGACTATAAATAGTTTACTGTGGCTTAAGTCTTTGTTGTGTTTCTATTTTGATTCCCAATAGTGTTTTTTTTTTTACAATCTTCATTTTGTGAATTTTTCTGTTAAACATGGAACAGTCAGGTATACAGAAGAAATTTGTAGTCAACATTTGTGTCTTTGTAAGAAACAGTAATAGTAAAACAGTAATCAGTTAACATGTTGTTCTTCCAGGTGTACTTGCATGAGTTCAAACTAACTTCGGTTGCGCTGTTGGGCCTATCTCAGTGTGTGGGCGTTCGTGCATGTGAGTGTTTGTATGGCTATTGTTTGCGAGCTTTGTGCTGTTTCAAATCATATGCTTCGGTCCCAGCTTATTATAGTTTACATTTCTATTAGTGCCGGTTTTCAGTGTCGTGCTTCCGCGCTTATTTTGGGATAGTCTACCCTCAGTGTGACTTGTGCTGTAAGAATCTGTGTTGCACGGTTTGGTAGCTGTGTTGTAGCACTGTAACAGCTTACTTAACCTTAGGCCAGTGTTGTAATTTGTGCAGGTGTGTCAAACCCCTATTCCAATAGTGTGTTTTATTCTTCTCTTTGCATTTCTGGTTTTAATCTTGGCTATTACTGACTCCTGTCAATACTCCTTGATTTGGCTATTGTACCTCACTATTCCTCATTTGTGGTTTCTCTGACTCGTTCCTGACCTTTCTCTGTCTTTTGTATGTTAAGCCCAGCCATGCTAGGGTCCGGCATATGTTTATTTCTTGGTTTATCATTACACACTGCATGTTTGGCTATATGGACCCTGCAGGTGTGTTGTGCCTAATCATTAAACTCATGAAGCGCCAATATCAAAAAGCAATAATCAATTACCCTAAGGTTTTTAAAGATATTGGTGGGCACCAAAACCCTATTCAGGATGAGTGAATTAGATATTTGCGAAAGGGAAAGACACTGACATCAAGTACTTGTAAATAATCAATACAAACTTTATTGATTAACAGAGACTTAATTAATAAGTAATCATTCAGCTTAAGGAAACAGCTTAATATTCAGCTTAAGTATACATCATCATAAGAGAAGATTGATGCACTCGACTGAGAGAACTTCAGTCAGTCAGGCTTGAAGGGACCCTATCTTTCTGGGAATCAGCAGAGCCAGCAATACGGGTCGGTATTACAGGTAGGTAGTACTCCAAGCGAGTGCCAAGTTTTCTCTTCTTTTATAACATTCTTACCAATGGGATAGACAGTCTGTACTTTTCCATCAGTGCAGCCCAGCAAAGACCTTGCAAAAGCGTTGGATGGGACCGACAGCTGGCCAGGCTGTCCAGGACCACCAACAATGCCATACCAAGTCTGTGCGGTTAGTTATCTCTTATTTAAAAAGCTAGCTCTGTTCTCATAACTATCTTGTGAGGGTATGCATGAGTCATTCTGGTGCTAGGTTTTCTGGTTTTATTAACATTTTCAGTGATGTGTACCGACACCATCTATAAAAGTTTGATTTGCTCAATAGTGATCAATCATTCTTAGTTAATATGGAATATTATCACAAGGTGTAAAATCCCAATGGGCAGCATATGATACCAGGTTTGAGGATATGGACCCTCATATGGACCTGTTTGTCCATGCATTGCAGACTTTGTTCAGCAACTGTAAAGTACCAGAGAAGGACACTTCTAACTGCCATTCCCGTATCAGCTGGGTTAAAAGCGTCCTCTTCTGGCATCCTTCTTCCTCATACGTGACTTAACCTTTACACTACCCCTAAACTCAACCCCTATGGACACTTTTTTGCTTTTTTTTTTTTAATGTTTGTGTTCAACCCGAATTTGCTTCTTTTTCATTTATTGCACCAACAAATTATATACCATTTTCTAAAGAACAAAAAGAGCTTTTATTTGAGGTGATATATACATATATAAATTCTTACTTATTAGGAAAAAAAAATACATAAAAGTTTTCACAGTTTTGATAATGTTTGCATAATTAGTGCAGCTTAAGGAAAGTAATTCAAAATAAATTACTTTAGTTGTTCTGATTTACATATTTAATATGTCTAGGATTTCAGGTTATTTTTGGTAGTTACAGGTCACAAAATACAAGGTGTAAAATGAAAATTGTAATATGGAGAGATTTTAGAATTTGGTAGGTTTGTCTCGTAAGCTTAATAGCGGTCACAGAAAACAAAATTGCCACACAAAAGTATATTTTATATAAAGCAAACATCACAGGCTATTTACCTAAGGGTACTTTGACACTTTTTACATAGCTATTTAACAGCCAATCTCTGCTAAATATTATGGTAAAATTGTGTTTTTTTCAGATTTTTAATGTACACACAAATAAGGTTTTTAAATATATATTTCATAAACTTGATGTGTACTGCTGCTGTAGAAAACTCCATATTGTGTTCAGCTACATCTTCTGAGTAAAATAATACAATATATGCCTTTGCCACTATCCTGTGAATTTACAGTGCCATAAAATAGACCTGGCTGTCAGGACTTACCTTAGTTGGGAGTCCAGTATGCAGAAATATACGCTCACCCATGCAAATAAACAGACCAAGGAGACCAGATAAGGAGCCACCGACAGATAAGGAGGCACAGACAAGCAATACATTCAAAATCCCCTGCACCAATAATGGGCACAGGGTGACCAAAACACAAAATGAATCTGGGGACCCACACAAAGTTGGTTCGGTAAACAAACAGGGGGTGTAGCGACAGACGAATAAAAGGGAATAAAAGTGTAGCCAGGGCATTCATTCTGCTACAGGTGCCATGAAGGGTATACCAGAGGCCGGACTCCAGAGTCTGAGGAGGGGTTTAGTAGAGGGGAGTGCTGGGGTTTTGTAGTAGGGGGGAGGGATGAAGTTTAGTAGAAGGCTGTGAAGAAATCACCAAGTTATTTATTTTTTTTTACTTTGTTCCATTCGGTAGATGCAACTTTCGAACACCGACCAACCCTCTGGCTCATTAACTTCAAAGAGAACAGTCGTTTAAGCACTCTCCCTGTGTGGCCGCTGTTCGTATAGTCGAACCCCACGTGTATGAGAAAACAGTGGCCATCTTGTTCACGCGAAAGGAGGCAGCAGGACTTGGTCGTCGAGTTTTTTAAATCAGACACTCGACTTCCCGAACACCGGTCCAAATTGTACGAACGCCTGCTTCCTTTTCTCGAACAGCTAGGAGAGCACTGTTCGGTAGTTTTGTTCCCATGAACAAGGGGAACAATCGCTACTATGAGCCAGAGGGAGCAATTCGTGCTTTTATTTGTTTTTTCAGACTTCACGAAATAGACCGGCCAAACCACTAAAACTTATGGAACGGTTTTGGGCAGGAGCCTCATGTGTGGCCGGTCACCTAAGACTTCCATAGAATTCGAAAACCCCTGAATTGATCTGGGTGATTTTTCGATATGTTGGTCACCCAGATCACGGCTATCAGGGGACACTTTTGTGAGAATATTGTATGTTTCAGGGTACATTTCACATTTTGGAGAAATTAAAAATTTTCTGCTTGGAGTTAATTGAGTTATTATTTATCTGACCCAATTATCACCAGGCTGAGAGGAGGGGATTATATGTTTTTACTGGGAGCAGTAATGTATTTAGTATCTGTGCTGCCCTAGGCATGATGGAACTCTAATACCCCCTAATTTAAATTTGCCCCTCCCCTTCCTGTCAATGCCACACCTCTTCTTGTTAAACGACTAACACACTTTCAGATACACTGATATGCACACACTGATTTGACACAAACAATCACTGACTCACTGACATACACACACACACACTGACAGGCATACACAATCCCTCAGACACGCACACACACACACACACACACACATTCACTGACAGACACTCACTCACAGACACACAGGCGCCCTCACAGACACAATCACTCAGAAACAAACACATATTCACTGACAGACACACACACACACACACACACACACACACAAAATCACTCATACACACACTGACAGCCAGACACACACAATCACTCAGACAAACACACTGACACTGAAAAAAACCAGTAGATGGCAGCCACTTTGCTTTAGTTTAGAATCCCTTTACTAATATCAGTACTATTAGCAGAGGGAAGATTTTGGGATTAAGATTAGATTAAGGATTAATTTTAGTATTGGGATTATATTTCAATTAGGGTCAGCACTTGCATCCCTCTGCTGAATTTAGAATTCAGAAGGGTATAATATTGCTAAAGTTAGAATTTAGATTAGGATTAAAGTCATTATTAGGGTTATGCATAGGATCAGGGTATGCATTAGGATTGGAGTGAGGTTTTTGATTAGATTTAGGGCTAGATTTGGTATTCGGATTTGGTTTGGAATAAGGGCTTGGTTTTGCAGTAGGGTTTTAGATTGGGATTAAATTGAAGATTAAGCTACTTTCCAAAGATATACTCAGCTGCAGTGTTCTCTACAGAGTTGAAGGGCTATATGCAGTGCCCCCTTCCCAGCCCCTCTGTATGTTACGGTCGACTTCCCCAGCCCCTCTGTGTGTGTCACTGTCCTCTTCCCCACCCCTCAGTGTTTCACTATGCCCTTCTCAGCCCTTCAGTGTGTGTCAATATCTTGTATTTAGCCCCTCAGTGTGTGGCACTGTCCTCTTCCCCTTTGTGTCTTTGTCCCATTCTGCAGCACCTCTCGTGTGTTACTTTCCCCCCAATACCTTCATGTGTCTCATTCTACTCCTAAGCCACTCCATGTGCCCCACCACTCCAACCCCTCCATGTTTCTCATACTCATTCTCCCCGGCCCCTCCATTTGTCTCATTTCCCCCAGCTCCTTCATGTCTCTCATTCTCCGCCAGCCTCTCCATGTGTCTTATCCCTGCCATGTGTCTCATTATCCCCCGATGTTTCGCATTCTGCAATTTAACCCCTCCATTATTATTATTATTTATATTTATATAGTGCCAGCTAATACACCCTGTTCCAAATTATTATGCAAATTATATTTAAATGTCACAAAGATTAAATATTTTGTTTTTCAGTTTAACTCATGGATGGCATTGTGTTTCAGTTTCTTTTGATCACTGAAAACAATCTCGGACACCTGTGATAATTAGATTGCCAGGTGAGCCCAATTTAAGGAAAAACTACTAAAGCAGGGTGTTTCCACATTATTAAGCAGAGCACCATTTTCATGCAATATGGGGGAAAAAAAGGATCTCTCTGCTGCGGAAAAGAGTGAAATAGTTCAATGTCTTGGACGAGGTATGAAAACATTAGATATTTCATGAAAACTTAAGCGTGATCATCGCACAATTAAGAGATTTGTGGCTGATTCAGAGCACAGACGGGTTTGTGCAGATAAAGGCACATTGAGGAAGATTTCTGCCAGATCCATGCATCGGATCAAGAGAGCAGCTGCTAAAATACCATTACATAGCAGCAAACAGATATTGAAAGCTGCTGGAGTCCCACGGACATCAAGGTGTAAAGTCCTCCAAAGTCTTGCAACTGTGCATAAACCTTCTATTCGTCCACCACTAACCAATGCTCACAAGCAGAAACGGCTGCATTGGGCAGAAAAATACATAAAGACTAATTTTCAAACAGTCCTGTTCACTGATGAGTGCCGTGCAACCCTAGGTGGAGTAGTGGATGGTTGGTGGATGGCCACCCTGTTCCAACAAGGCTGCGACATCAGCAAGGTGGTGGTGGAGTCATGTTTTGGGCCGGAATCATGGCAGCTGGTCAGCCCCTTTAGGGTCCCTGAAGGTGTAAAGATGACCTTTGCAAAGTATGTGGAGTTTCTGACTGACCACTTTCTTCCCTGGTACAGAAGAACTATGCTTTCCGTAATAAAATCATCTTCATGCATGACAATGCACCATCTCATGCTGCAAAGAATACCTCTGCATCAATGGCTGCTATGGGGATAAAAGGAGAGAAAGTCATGGTGTGGCCTCCATTCTCCCCTGACCTTTGGAGCATCCTCAAGCAAAAGATCTATGAGGGTGAGCAGTTTACATCCAAACAGCAGCTCTGGGAGGCTATTCTGACATCTTGCAAACAAATTCAAGCAAAAACTGTCCAAAAACCTCACAAGTTCTATGGATGCAAGACTTGTGAAGCTGCTATCAAATAAGGGGTCCTATGTTAAAATGTAACATGACCTGTTAAAATGTTTAAAAAGTTAAAATGTTGTTATAAGTTTGATTGAAATAGCTTTTGATTTCAGTAAATATGCTGCAAACACAACAAATGACAAGGTTTAGTTCTTTACAACCTATATAGTGTTTTGAAACTTACTGTGCGTAATAATTTGGAACAGTGCATTGTAAGTTTTTTTTATGTTTAAAAAAAATATTGTTATCATTAGGTTTGTTCAATAAAATTTGAATTGTACTCTTAATAGTTGATAACATGAGAATTATGCTGACTGTTATTTACATTAATTATTTAGGTAAATAAGAAAAATATAATTTGCATAATAATTTGGAACAGGGTGTACTGCAGGGCTTTACAATATTATGAAAGGGGGAAATTACACAGTGGACAATTACATAGGAACAATAGGTAGATAAGGGCCCTGCTCAAACGAGCTTACAGTGTAGAGGAAGTTATGTAAGCCCTGAAATTATGCCGGCACACAAACAGAGTGGGTGGGCAGTGGGTCCCTCTCATCGGCAGGTCCCTGTACCCAACTACTCATGTAGCCCTTTCCTGTCAGACCGTGGTCCCCTCCATGTGTCTCGGTCCCATACCTGCCCCTCCTTGTGTCACATCACTGAGAGCACTTCCTGTCAGACCGTGGTTGGCTCGGGCATGCTACATGCAGTGACTAGCACCAGCCCTGAAGTTCTTACGGCACACAGACAGAGTGGGTGGGCAGCGGGTCCCTTTCATCGGCAGGTCCCTGTACCCAACAGGTCCCAACTACTCATGTAGCCCTTTCCTGTCAGACCGTGGTCCGCTCGGGCATGCTACATGCAGTGACTAGCACCAGCCCTGAAGTTATGTGTATCAACCCCCCCAAGCCCCTCCATGTGTCTCGGTCCCATACCTGCCCCTCCTTGTGTCACATCACTGAGAACACTTCCTGTCAGACAGTGGTTGGCTCGGGCATGCTACATGCAGTGACTAGCACCAGCCCTGAAGTTATGACGGCACACAGAGTGGGTGGGCAGCGGGTCCCTTTCATCGGCAGGTCCCTTTCATCGGCAGGTGTCATGCAGCCATTTTTAAAGGACAAGTACAAAAATCCAGGGGGGCAATTGCACCCCCTTGCCCTATCCTGCTGACAGCCTTGGGTACATGTCTGCATGCTTGGTATTCCGAACAATTACTTTGACCTTTATGGTAGAACTTGTTAGTTGTTTGACCAAGTGGCTTTGCTAAACCAGAAGTACCAGTAGGAATCCCTTCCTAAATTGGCTTATAAACTAAAATCATATTCCTGGAGTCTTACGCACATGAATGACAAATATAAGTAAATCTTCCCCTCTACCAGGTTCAAATAGATATTAAGGTCTGGTATTTAATTAGTATGGAAAAACTTATGGCTGCTCTCCAGGATGCTATAGACTATTTTCATAAAATCTGGTCCCCCTAGATGAATGCTATTCATCCGCCTGTAATGGATCTTCTGTTGCTTGTGTGGTAGGTTTCTGACGGGGGTTTGGTTTGACCTACGCTATGGTGATTAAGTCATTGGTTGTTTTTTTAACTTTAATTTATTTAAATTATTAGTTTCTTTCATTCTTTCTTTTCTGATACCCTATGCGCTTTTCCTTCTCTCCTTCTTCCTTGGTCTTCTTTGGTGACGATGGCATATTGCTGCTTTTGGTTATGCATTCATATTGACCCATTTCCATATTCCCTGTGCAAAACCTGGTGTCAGTTGCCCTCTAGAATTAATTAGTCACTGAGGTTTTATTTGTTTATAACATATTTCTTGCGTAAGAACAGAAAAACTTAAATGGCATTATCATGTATCCATAAGCTTAAAAGCCGTAGAATAGGAAGGAACTTCAAGATCAAGAGGTTTCAGTCCTATCAACCAAGCCAATCAAGCAAGATTGCCTATTTTTATTTCTATTAATAATAAAAAATAGACTAACTTATTAAGGGGATTACTAAATAAAATGTCCATGTAACACCAACCACAGGTAGTAACATTTATTGGAGGATAAGCCCAACATCTAACTCTTTAATACGTCAGTGCATAGGGTTACCATTAAACCAACCATAGTTCGAAGGTCATAAAACAATCCAGATTAATGATGATGAATCAGATCCTGTATTACATTTTAGAATATGAGCCGTACTCTCCAGTATACAGTAGACTGCGGTCATAATTTGGTGCTAAAGGAAACAGTTCCACCACATAGTGGACAAAACCAACAAAAAAAACTGTAAAAACCCAAAATAGTTTTTAACTTGGCTGATCAGAGAAAGATGGAGGCCATAAATTCAGAGAAGGAAATGACCTTATGTTGCAACAAGGAGCTATCTGGTCAGGCAAGATGTTGCAGATGACTCTCCCACATACTGTTATTTCAAGAGTGGTGAGGATTGGGGGGAAAAAACAAAGTTATCAGGGGTGGAATTACAAAGGTTTGGTAAGGTCTCCATTAGGATGTAGGGCCCATGTACATTGCCCTATGGCAGGTTGTTGAGCTAGGACTCAGTGTACATTGTATACCCTTGTCATATTGACTTCCCATGGATTTACATAGGAAAGGAAAACTAATGTGTTTACATACTGGTACCCATACTTACCTACCACTTGGTGTATGTTATTCTGCTGAAATCAGAATGCCCTTTGCGAGTTCCTCTAATACATGAGAAACTCCTTTGTACGAACCCGGATAATTGTGATGCGAAGAAGCTCACGATGTATAAGCTGCTCCTTGTACTATCCCCCTCCCCAGTTCTACTTCTTCCCTACCTCCCTCTTCCTTTCCTCCCATATGGTTTTCAATATGCTCTCAATCCCTGGATGGCACATGATCTCCCCTTCTCCACACCACAATGCGCAAGCCTACTACTACTTACTGAGCTATTACACAGACTTAGCTCACTCAGGTGTCAGAAATATGTACTTAGTATGTTAATGGTTAAAAATTCTATACATAGTTCCACTCAGGAACGACCCTCTTCTCCTGCAGGACTATTATGCTGCACAGACCTAGCATGTATTAAGGAGACACATTTTTGAAAGCCACGTACTCCTGCAGTGTACACTAGATACGTTCCCAATCAATTCCATTCTCTTTCCCCGAACAAGGCTAAAGGGGTATCTACCCTAATACATAGAGACATTGCCTTTACAGAACAGCAACACTATATAGACCCCCAGGGTAGATTTATCTTGGTAGGGTTGTTAAACGATATCCAATATACACTGGTATCGGTATACTTTCCAAATTCAGCGGTGAAACCGTACCTTCAGTCTTTTACGTAAAATTGATGACTTTCGTCAAGGAGGTCTAATTATCTGTGGAGACTTAAATTTCATGCACTCCTCCTCCCTTGACACGACAGCTCAACTACATGAACTCCACCAACTACATACCCTTAACACCGCAACAACAAAAAAATTCCTTCATAGATTACGGGCCTCCACTTATCACATGAGTGGAAAGGCTAACAAATATCTTGCTGATCGATTGAGAGACAAACAAGCCAGCTCTAAGATAGCACACATTCTAGGTGAAGGGGGAGATGTTAAGATGGGTCCTCAAGACATTGGCCAAGAATTAGCCAAATTTTATTCCAAGTTATACAACCCACTAGGCGACCCACATACGTATGTCCCCACTGACTGAGAAATTGAGAATTTAAACTCTATCCGACTCCCTAGACCATGGATCAGCAACAATAACTTCTATAACTTATCACACTGTCCAAGACCTCAAAGGCTATTTTACAGCTACCCTCAGGTAAATACCCCTTATTGCAGATTTCCAATCTGTATTATAAAAAGTTTTCACATATCCTGGCCCCACACCTCCTACGGTTTTACAGGAATGTGGCAGATAAGGGTATACTCCGACATGAAAAGCTCCTGGCCACAATAGTAGCAATCCCCAAGCCAGAAAAGCCCACTGACAATTGTAAGTCACTCCTGAATACAGATGCGAAAATCTATGCCAAGATTTTGGTCAATAGACTGCCTCCTCTACTGCCTTTCTTAATTGAAGACGATCAAACATGTTTTAAACGAGGCAGACAGGGACTTGAAAAAACGGATATTGGCCCAGGTTCTGGTGGTATGCTGCTGGCATTAGATGCAGAGGGAGCTCTTGATTGTCTGGGCTGGTGCTGGGCATGTATGGCTTTCCCCCCCACAGTTGGCACAACAGATTTTTGCACTGTACTCCTCCCCATCAGCACAGGTGCTACAGGCAGGTTTCCTCTCCTCTCCCTTCACCATCTTTAATGGGACGAGACCGGGATGTCCCCTGTTGCTATATATCTTGGCCCTGGAACATCTATCAGAGCTCACCCAAATATATCAGGCATTCAGCTGGGGGATATAAAACTGTGGGTTAGCAGGTTTACAGATGTTATACTGCAGTAAATTTCCAAACCGCAGGATACCATGCCTCTAATAATGCAATTAATTGAACAATACTTAATGCTAGCAAAACTAAACGTGGGTATCCCTTCTACACAAACAAACTCACTCAGCCAGTCCTATCCCTTTAAATGGCGATAATCTAATATAAAATACTTAGGCATTACCTTTACTAAAAATGCTGTGGACTTATATCCCCAAACAATGTCAAGACATGGAACGAGTGTAGATGGCTATTGCACAGATGGACACCACTATTCCTTTCCTGAACAGAGAGGATAGCCACCTTCAAGATGTCTATCATACCCAGGCGGCAGTATCTCTTTCTCAATCTACCCATTTCACTCCCACTATCCTATTTTAAACCAATACAGATAGAATTAAACAAATTTATTTGGGCAGGAGGGAGACCAAGAGTAGCTAAAACACTACTGGCGGTCCCCAGTAGGATTGGCGGCCCCCGATATCCGGGCCTACTATCAAGCCTTGATATTGGCTGCAGCTGCATCGCATATACTAAATTCTACTGCACCTCAATGGGTCCGCCTAGAGTGGTGCTGCTAAGCTCCCCATGACATCCCAACACCGCTATAGCTACCGAAGCACTCTCGCCCAGTTGTCACCACTGCTTCTCCCACTATATACTCCAGATCTGGGATAAATTTAGAACTAAACTGACTAATGGAGCATCACTGCCCTTATCTACCCCACTTACTGCACTCCCATATTGAATCCTTACCAGACAATATAATCTAGACGAAAGACTCAAGATATCAACGGCTACAATTACAGAATGGGAACAAATTTCCCCCTATACATCTCCCATATGCTGGAGCTGTGAGCTAGAAAAGGGCACAACATTACTTGTGTGGTGTCAGTGTCAGACTACATTGTATCCTAGTTCCTCAGAGAGGAATTGGTGAGCTGCTTTCCATAGAGTGCTTAATTTTTTAGCCTTTTTATAGATGTTTAGCTGAATCCCTAATATCCTGTATATTTTGCTAAGTACCACTGTATGTAATCCATTGTGAAAGTTAATTTAAATTTTTCACTAAAGCATAGATGCCTAAAAGAGTTTATTCACCAATAAAAGGCAAAGAGTCCAACATGTGGGTACCAGTGCTTTAAAGTGGTAGATCCTAAACCATTTGCAGCATTTTAGTTTTTTTCCTCTGTCCTATTTTTGTTAATTAAATATCCAAGAGGATCCCTGTGCTGTGATGTCAGATGTCTAGCAATAGAGGTGTCTCTAAGTCTAATCCCATTGGCAGAATTCACATGTTCCAGGATTCATACATTGAAGACGTGAAACGCCTTCCCACATATTTCATCTCACAACTGAAGGTTAGAAGGCATACACCTCCAGCTGCGTTGCAATTAAAGAATGACCTTGTGGGGGGGCGGGCCCTGGCAGCCAGGATGGCCGGTCGTGCTCTCTGAGAGCTCCAGCGCCAGCGGGCACAAAAACGATAATCCAGAGCGATCCAACAATGCCAGCAACACACGGTGCCCAGAGAGAGACGCAGGACAACGCGAAGCACAGAAAAATGCCAGACACACTCCGAAACGCAACACAAGCACTTGAATTGACCACGAGGCCTAAACCGGAGCAGGGCCTGAAGCAGAGGGGAGGCGGCCGATCACCCGGCACGGGACCGCTCACAAGCGAAAATCTGACATTGTCCTGCTACCCCCCCATGGACTGGCGGGGGTTATCCCAGTCCTCGTTGGGGATAACCAACCCCGCATCACAACTTGAACAAGCGACACAGCCTGCAGGCAAAAGGGACTGTCAGGGCCAAACCAAGATGGTGGCTCAGGCGCGACCTGCGACAAACCGCATCCTCGCCAAGCCACCCAAGCACACCCTGGAGTTCTTCAACCGGCTCTACACCAGCCTATGGATAGAGCTCTGCACCAATAGTCGGCTTTTCAAATAAGTGCTGAGAGAGGTGGCGGCTACCCGACACCACCTGGGTGGGAACCCGCTACGAGCACCCACAGGGGCCTCCCTCTGCAGGCGGCGGGAAACAACATTGGGCCCCCCAGGAGCCAGCACTCGCCCACACACAGACCGGAGCAGGACCAATCAGCAGGCCCGATCTATTTACCACTCAGCATGGTCTTCGACGGGTGAAGCGAAGCCTTGTACTCACGGACTCCCGAGAGGATACCCGAGTTACAGCACAGCCTCCCACCAGAAGGAGAGCCCCTCCGGAACCCAACGGAGACCGAACCTCACCGAGGAACCAACGCTGCCATTATCCTTGGCCTGCCTGTCAGACCTCCAGAGCAGGCGTCGACTAATCAGAATGAACTGACCCAGAGGCGGACTGTGCTCCTGCAAGCCCAAACGCAGTGACAATGCACGAGACCGCTGGATAATTCATACCTATTGTAATGTTTTCATTTGCTACTGTGCCAATTTGCTCTGCCATCACTTAATGTTTAGACCACTGCCTAGCCATTGCATGCCTATATATTGCGCAGCTGAGTATAACAAAGTTTAAATATTTTCATATGTCCAGCAGACATGCACCTGAATAACAGGCTAGCACTACACAGTACAATGTTACTTTAATTAATTCCCTGCCAAGTTAATTTAACCACTGTGCCCTTAACACCCATGTGTCACACCGACAACATATCCTTAACTAATATTTGACATACACAACGGCATGGCACCGAGCAGACCACATAGCGCAGCAGTCATAGAAGATCCCAAATTGCCGGAAAGCTCTAGCTACCTGACAACTGAAGCGATAGCCCAGCTTGTATTGAACCCTGTTACCAATCGACAAAGTAATCCATTATGATAGATGTAGTTACCCAGCTTGAACTTAGGGAATATTATTAATCTAAAAATTGTGCGTATAATCCGAATGCTATACAAAAGTTGACAAATTTTTGTTTATAAACTGTTTGCGAATGCTGTTGTGGCATTGCTGACATACGAATGTTATTTCATGCAGAGCAAAAATAAAGAATAATAATAAAAAAAAAAAAATGACCTTGTACTGAATGTCTGAGCTATCACTACTTGATACTTTTTGAACTCCTAAGTATATATCTACAAGGTTTTTATCCACCTTCTCACTTTCTATTCTGACAATTAGCAGGGAATAACACCCATTTTTAAGTGGTGGCTCGTGTAATATTTGTAAAGACTGAATGCTTCAAGCAAACTTATCAAGGAAAGTAGTAGTTCAATTGCACACAAAAACAGGTAAATGCTAACGAAAAATTCCATTTGAATAGCGACACAGTGAGAGTTCGGCAACTAGATGTCAATTCCATTTGCCGAGCTAATGTCATCTACATAAGCAGGTTAAGAACATGCATTCATTCCGAAAACAAATAAAGAATTGCCAAATAAATGAATGGTTCAGTAAATGAATTTCATTCATAGTCATTCATTCATGGAGTTGCAGCCAACGACAGTGCAGTAACAATATTTGTTAGTGGGTTCTGATCAATCCTGTGACCACAATCATGGATCCAATCCTCATACAAATGCTAATTGATATGGAGTATTTTATCTTTTAATGAATGTCGTTATTGCAAAAAATAAGACTAATCTTGAATTTTCAAGCAAAGGCTTCCAATGTGTAAATAGGAAGTTTTTTTTTATTTCCAGATGCTTGAACATCGAGGCCATAAACTACCATTGTGTTGGTTGTTGGGTTGTGTTCGGTTTCTTGCAGTCTTTCTGAGAGAAACTTACCTATCTAATGACCCAAAAAACTGAATAAGACAGAATGTGTTCAATAGTTTTAACCACTGCAGATTTATTTTTCATTCTCCTATATTTGTCTTTAGTTTATTTGTTTGTTTAAGAATTTTTTGTTCATTATAGAAGAAGCCTCCTGTGCCTCTTCTAAAAAAAATTCCCATTAGACTGTATTTACTTTCTGCAAGATTAAGGCAGTTATGGCATTTTTAAGGCGAGGGAAATAAACTATTATTTTTTTATGTTCATCATTAAATTATTTTGTTTCCATTTATTTTTTTCAGATTTTTATTATGCAAATTCTTATTTTATTAGGGTGCGAGTCCGTCCATGCACTTACACCCATTGTACAGCGCTATGGAATTAATATTAAAATAATAATATGCATAAATTGAAACAATGTTCTTCAAAGATAATATACCTTGCATTAATCCTGTTTTACAAACATGATTCATTAATTTGCATAGGGATTAATGGTTGAACAGAATTTGATAAATAAACAAACTCTTTGCAGAATTTGTATAAACTGTATAGATATGTGAACAAATGTCAAAAGATTGAATAATTGAAAAAAAGTTTTTTACATACACATCTCTATTAAGAACCGATGGCATAGGACACGGTAGAACTGAGCCACAGTTATACTAATAAAAAAAAGTTGGATCGTTAAGTTTACCTTAACAAACCAGTTGCCAATGCACGACAACTCCCTTTTTCAGAAAAAAGAACCATTTTTTCACACACACAATTTCTCTAGCACATTTCTGAATTCACATCAATCATCTACCGCAAGAGTATCCGAATGATCCATCCAATTATATATTAATTTTATCACATTTTATTAAAGTTTTTTTAAAATATGCAACAAGAAAGACTGTGTAGAAAGTACACATGTAAGGAAGACCTTTGTTACAAAAGCAAAAGCTCAGTAGTAAAAAAAAAAAAAAAGCACTTAGGACAGCTACCCATTGGGTGATATATGCATTGTCATTACATGTAAATGCTAATATGCTCTTGTTGTAAAGATGCAACAAAAAGGTTAAAGAGAATTAGAAAGAAAAAAACAAGACAAACAGAGTACACATGATGAATTATAAGCTTGGAATAGAAAAATAGATCATAACCAGTGGGTAAATAGCAGGATTTCAGAATAAAATGTTAACAGTAGGTAGAATGTTGAGGATTTAGGGACAGAGCACATAGAAAGAGTCGGGGAAGTTTTAAAGTGACTTATTGGTTTTTTTAAATTTTTTTTTTTTTTACAAAATACTAATGAAAAATACTTCTGCATTGACCTGAAAAATAAATATTTTATTATGGCTTAAGTTGTCAGAAAGCCTTAGTATCTTCTTTTTCCATCTTCTTTGACAGTTATACACGTTTTTGGTCGAAGAGCTGTAATGAAAACAGAGTTTCTATATAAACATTGTATTGAGGATCTGCTGTAATTTTCTGTGGTAATACATTTATTAATAAGGAGAAAGGTAATGGTGTATGATTGACTACTAGTGACATCACTAGATTGATAAAGCAAAATCTATAAACATTATACATAAGCATTGTATAATACACGCAGAAACGAACTACATAAAATATTTAGAATGGTTAAGACATACCAATAGAAAAAACTATTTTTTACTGTTTTCAAATAGCCACCCAGCATGCAGGAGTGGATGTCAAAGGCATAAACTATCTGTAATTCTGTTACTGTGAAGATACAAGTGTATCTATTATTTTTATCTGGTCTATTGTTTTTTTTTCTTGCATTCAACTGTAACTCAATATTTACAATTTTTTGTGAATGTATTAATGGCTTGGCTTGCTTTCCATTACTCTTTAAGTGAAATAAATGGTAGATGTGTATACAAATTCCAACATGTCTTTGATTAGGTGTTCTACTAGATTTAGATCATATGTATAAAGTGTAGATTAGAGTGCATCACTCTCTCTCCAGATGCACCCTAATAAGAACATTTTACCGCATACACTTTGAATTATTGACTTGCATTTTTGTTATTTAAAAAGTAATCAAATGTTAGAAATATCTTCAGAATGTATATGTACAGTTTGTGTACCTTTTACTTAATTATAGCAATTCATTCATTTCCATATTAATTTGCATTACAATGCAATAATATATAACTTGCAAGGTCCACAGCATTAATTTGAAAAAGTCAAGCAGAATTTTTTAAAAAGTTCAATGTGCTTTGATCTTTAATAAGCAACTCAACAAAGAATGAGGAAAACATTTATTCAGTCTTCTCTATCAACCATATACACAAACCGCTTTTTATGACAGCTCATATACAAAATAATAAACATATTGGATAGAATGAGACAATGATTGCTCTCATGACTGCTTGTGTGTTAGTTAAAAGGACACCCAGACCCCTTAAAGCACTTTAGCTTTTTAAAAAGCTTTATTTTAATAGAAATTGACACTTTCTTTTTTTAAATTAACTTGGTTACATCCCTTTCAAGTAGACAAAAGTTTATTTTACTTCCTGGTTTGGCTAGCTCACTGGAGCAATTTCTCGGATCATCTTCCTTGCAAAGACTTCTCATAGAGAATTCTGTGCATTGTGAAGTCTGTGATTGAACAGTACAGGAAATCTAGGCGGCGTTAGAAGTGTGAGTGATGGCCTATTTTTTCCTGACATCTCCAGCATGTGTCCGAGGTTGTGTATTCTGGTATGGTGGACTGCTTGGTGATATGTGACAATGTCTGGTAGGTTTATTCGACCTTTCTCTCTGTTTTTTATTAATGTTTTATAGGCTATTTTGGGTTGTTTGTAAGACCAGATGAATTTCGTGATAACGGATTTGACTGCATTGAAAAATTTGTTAGGGATTATTATCGGGAGCGTTTGTAGGAGGTATAACAGCCATGGGAGGATGTTCATCTTGACGATGTTGGATCTGCAGAGCCACCCGGAGCAGGGTTTATGCCAAGATTGAAGATCTTTGGTTATTTTTGTTAGGAGTGAAGGGAATTTTTGTTCGTATAGGTGGTATAGTTTATTTGGAATTTGAATGCCTAGGTATTTTACTGATTTAGATGCCCATGAGAAATGAAAATTCTCTCGCATTTTTGTATCTAGGTATTTGGTAGTGTATATAGGCAAAAGTTCGCATTTGGTGAGGTTTGCTTGGAAGTTGGATACCTTGCTGTAGGTTTCCATTTCTGTGAGAATGTTGGGTAAGCTGCAGAGAGGGTTGGAGATGGTAAAGAGAAGGTCATCTGCGAAGGCTGAGACCTTATATTCTTCTCCCCCGATTGATAGGCCATGAATATGCATGTTATCCCTAATCCCTTGTAGGAAGGGCTCTAGGATTAGGGTAAACAGGAGGGGTGAAAGGAGACAGCCCTGTCTAGTTCCATTGGTTATGATGACTGGTTGGGAAAGCTGTCCGTTAATGCGGAGTCTGGCTATGGGTTGTGAATAGATAGCATTCCTGCCATCTCGGCCCAAATCCCAGAATCTAATCACATTGGTGAGTAGGACCCAGCTCACCCTGTCAAATGCTTTTTCGGCATCTATTGCGAGTAAGGGACTGTGTGTTTTATGTGTCTGGGCCCAGTGGATCACGTTTATTATTTTTGTCGTATTATGTTTAGCTTCCTGTCCTGGCACAAAGCCTGCTTGGTCTTGGTGGATTAAATTTGGGAGAAATGGTTTTAGTCTGTTTGCCATTATTTTGGTCAAGATCTTTAAGTCAATGTTGATGAGTGAGATTGGCCTATAACTTCCACACGTTGAGGGATCTTTGCCAGGTTTGGGTATGAGGGCAATAGTTGCTTCTAACGCGGATTTGGGTAGTGAGGAGGTGAGTTTTTGTGCATTGAAGGCATCGGTGAATGGTTGTGCTAGTGTTCGTGAGAGAGTTTTGTAGTATTTGCCTGTGAAGCCATCTGGGCCTGGGCTTTTACCAATAGGGAGAGATTTCACTGTGTTTTCGAATTCTTCAGGTGTGATTGATTCATCTAGGAATCGTGTTTCGTTAGGTGGGAATGTGTTTTTGACCCTAGGTTTGAGAAAGTCCAGGATATCTTCTGCGGATGGTTGGATTTGTGTAAGGTTCTATAGGTCGGTATAGAATTTGTAGAAAGCTTTTATAATATCTGGCATTTGGTTTGTGGCGCCCCCGTCTTCCTGTTTAATTTCGGCTATAAATGTGGATTGTTTTGTTGGAGGGCTTGCGCGAGAAGTTTTCCTGCTTTTCCCCCTTTTTTATAGTAGTAATGTTTTGTTAGTGTCAGTGTCAGTTGGCATCTTGCGTGAAGTTGGAGTATTGTTGTTAGTTCTGTTCTTTTAGTTAGTATCAGTTTATATGTGTCCATTGAGTCTTTATTTTGGTGTTGTTTGCATTCCAGGGTTTTTAGTTCTTGAGTTAATTGTTTGATTTGTTGTTCTCTTTTGCGCTTTTGGGAAGAAAAGATGTGGATAAGCTCCCCTCTCAGGACTGCCTTATGTGCTTCCCAAACCAGAGCTGGTGAGGTGTCTGGTTGTGTGTTTAGTGTGAAATAGGTATTGGCTGAGTCTCTGAGTTTATCGACGGTTTCTGTGTTATTGAGGAGTAGGTCGTTGAGACACCATTGTGAGGATGGGTTTGGTATGGTAGGGATTGTGATTTTTAGGGACATGGGTGCGTGGTCTGACCACGATGTTGGGCCATATGATGCTTATGTGACCATAGGTAAGTACCTGTGTTGCAAGAAGATGGTGTCGATGCGGGAATAGGCCCCCGCTGTGGATGAGAAGAACTAATAATCTTTTCGTGTTGGGTGTACAGCCCTCCAGCAGTCATATAGTTGAGCTTCATGCAGAGTGCTGTTTATCTGTTTTCTAATTAATTCTGTGTTTGGCTGTGGCTTAGCAGTGGAATCTAGTTTCCCGTCCAGAGAAACATTAATGTCTCCTCCCAGCACCAGCATACCCTCGTAGAAGTTGGAGAGTTTAGACAATATTTTCTGTAGTGCTGCATTCTGCTTTTTGTTGGGGAGATATATATTGGCCAGTGTGACTTGGGTGTTTCCTAATTTGCCCTTTATCTGTTTGTTGGTCTTGGTATGTAAATTGGGTTTTATTGCCAATCAGTATCGCCACTCCTCTTGATTTAGAGTTTGAGTAGTGTCCGAAGTAACTTTTAGGGTAATTCTTATTTTGTAATCTGGGCGCTGTGTCTTTACGAAAATGGGTTTCTTGGATAAAGACTATATCTGCTTTGTTTCTGTGGAAATCTGTTAAGGCTATCGTGCATTTTTCTGGGGTATTTAAGCCTCTGGCATTCTGAGTGAGTATGGTTATTGAGGTCATTTTTTGGGCTATGGTAAGGGAGTTGAATTTCCTAAGGACTCTCTGTCAGTTAGGTGTAGGTTGTATAGTTAGGATGTGTATTTGACTGGGTTGATTTAGTTATAGAGGTATAGGGAAGGGGTAGTGACCTTATGCTTATGTAAGGGAGTGTGTCTTTCTGTATGACTTGGGGTGTGGTTTTAGTGACTCGGTATTCAAGCTTTGAACTGGTTTTGGTTTTCTGTTTTCTAGCGAGGTCACTGGTTTGGCTATCAAGCGTAGAGCTCACTTATCGTGAGTGGTTTTCGTGTTATCTAAACAATGATTTGCGTATTTGTAGTCAACAAATGGAAACGTATAGGTTACAGTACAATATCGAACTTAACAATAAAAAAACAGTTGTAACACGTACAATACAATGCTTAAAATTATACAAACAGTAGTAATAGTTTTCCGTAAGTAACAATAGATAGTAACAGTATATCGTATTCGCGTTAGAGCGGTGTGCCTGTTTTTGAGAATGAGGTTGAATATTATATGGGCACTGGTGTTTAAGTAGTGCAGGTGTTGATTGAAATTAGTCTCGAGGTGGTCGTGGACCACCTGTTAGTCTCCAGTTGTGAGACTTTTAGAAGGATTTAGTTTATGGCAGGATATGTTATGAATTCTGCTAGTAGCATGTCCTCCTGGGATAGAGGAAGTACAGGGGTTTCTATCTTGACGCTAAGATGGAACCTTTATTTAAGTTGGGGTTTTGAGGCCGGGTTTGAGATCCGAGGATCTGGTAATCCTCTATTGGTATTGTAGCTTTAGGAGAATTTAATATGTAGTAATATCTTCTGTCATGGGCTGATACGGTGTGTGTGAGGGGGGGGGTGGGAAGACAAGCAGATTGTCGCTCAGATGTCCAGGTTATAAATTGTAGCATTTGTTGTTGTTGTTATTTGCGCACTAGTGGGGGCTCGGTTCGACTCCTCTGATGTGGTAGGGTTAATCTCATTTTGATGAGATGGGGGGGAGTTGGGAGATGTTAGATGAAAGATGGAAGAGAGAAGAGGTGGTAAGGGACGAAGGACGGTGAGAGGGGATGGTTAATGCTCCAGGATAGATGGAGATATTAATGAGGAGGTCTAAAGTAGTTGTGAGGGGTTATTACGTGTTATAGCTGAAGTGCAAAGTGTTACCTTCTGAGTATGAATTAATTCTATGGCAGCTGAGCAGTTTATTGACTGATGATAATGCAGTGTAGTATAAATCCTGATTATGGACCGGTTGATTCATCCCGAGGTCCTCTGTGTCTCTGATGTGGTGACTGGAACCGCTGGTCTTGTCTTCTTTTCTTCGCCGGTGTGAGCCAGCGCTGTCTTTGAGGGGGGCCCAATGTTTTGTGGTTTGAGGAGGGTATGTTCCAATCCAGAACGTGAGTTTCGGGGAGGTCTGGAGCTTGTAGGAAAGGCAGGATATCCAGTGGAGTAGTGATCGTTAAAGTGTTGCCTTTGTTAGAGACAATTAGGGCGAATGGGTAGACCCAGCGGTATTTATATTTCTTTGTTTTAGGAGATCGGTGATCGGCTTGAGGGCTCTGCGTGCCTGGAGTGTGTACTAGGACAAGTCTGGGTAAATTTGGATAGGGATATTGTGAAACAGGAGGGGTTGGGTTGTATCTCTAAGTGCTTTGAGTATGTTTTCTTTAATGGGGAAGTGATGGATTCGGCATATTATGTCCCTCGGGGCTTCAGAGGTTGAGTTTCTGGGTCTTAAGGAGCGGTGTGCTCGATCAAGCTTGATTTGTGTGTCGTTTGGAGTTCCCAGGATTGGATTGAATAGCTCCGTGAGTAGCAATGAGAGGTTTCTCCCTGGGATTCTGGCATACCTTGTATTCGTAGATTGTTTCTACGGCTGCGGTTATCCAAGTCATCAATATGCCGTTGTGTAGCTGCATATTGAAGTAAATGGGAGTCAATTACTGAGGTTAAGTTGGTGATTTGCGCTTGCATGATTTCTCGCTCTTCCTCTAGGTCCGTCATCCGGAGATTGAGCTGTTGGATGTCGGAGCCCATCGCCTCCATCTTGGATAGGAAAGTCGCCTCAAGTTTACTCATCATCGTTTGGAGGTCATGTTTGGATGGTAAGTTTTTCAGGATTGCTTTGATATATGGGTCCATACTGGTGTCTAAATTATTATGTGAGCAGTCCGATGTAGCTGGGCTTTTAGGCCGCAAGGTTTGAATTAACTCCGTGTCGACCATTTTGTAGGCCGCGAGTTCGGTCTCCGTCTCTCGGTCCGCAATTTCTTTAAAGTATTTGTTTAGGGAGCCTGTTTTGGTAATAGGAGTTTTCTCTCCTTGTCTTTGAGGCCCATGGTGTGGTATTTTCTCAAATTGCAGTGGATTAGGTCATGGATCACTGGGAGCGATTTCAATGTGCGTCCATTAAGCTCAGCAGTAGGCCACGCCCCCCCCGCAAGTTTTCATTTGAGATATAGAAACATAGAATGTGACGGCAGATAAGAACCATTCGGCCCATCTAGTCTGCCCAATTCTTAAAAATACTTTCATTAGTCCCTGGCCTTATCTTATAGTTACTCCTTTACTGTGTTAACCTCTACCACTTCAGCTGGAAGGCTATTCCATGCATCCACTACCCTCTCAGTAAAGTAATACTTCCTGATATTATTTTTAAAACTTTGCCCCTCTAATTTTAGACTATGTAGTTGTGGTAGTTTTTCTTCTTTTAAATAAAGTCTCCTCCTTTACTGTGTTACCTTAAATGTTTCTATCATATCCCCCGTCTCATCTTTCCTCCAAGCTATACATGTTAAGTTCCTTTAACCTTTCCTTGTAAGTTTTATCCTGCAATCCATGAACCAGTTTAGTAGCCCTTCTCTGAACTCTCTCTAAAGTATAAATATCCTCTTGAGGTACGGTCTCCAGTACTGCTTACAATACTCCAAGTGAGATCTCACCAGTGTTCTGTACAATGGCATGAGCACTTCCCTCTTTCTACTGCTACTCATTCTGCTAGCATTTCCTGCTGCTCTATTACATTGTCTGCCTACATTTAAGTCATCAGAAATAATCACCCCTAAATCCCTTTCCTCAGATTTTGAGGTTAGGACTCTATCAAATAGTCTATACTCTGCCCTTGGGTTTTTACGTCCAAGGTGCATTATCTTGCACTTATCCACATTAAATTTCAGTTGTCACAACTCTGACCATTTTTCTAGTTTACCTAAATCATTTGCCATTTGGCATATCCCTCCTGGAACATCAACCCTGTTACATATCTTAGTATCATGAGCAAAAAGACATACCTTACCATCAAGACCTTCTGCAATATCACGAATAAATATATTAAAGAGAATGGGTCAAAGTACAGATCCCTGAGGTACCCCACTGGTGACAAGCCCATGCTTCGAATATACTCAATTGACTACAACCCTCTGTTGCCTGTCACTCAGCCACTGCCTTACCCATTCAACAATATTGGAATCCAAACTTAAAGATTGCAGTTTATTGATATGCCTGCTATGTACAACAGTGTCAAAAGCCTTACTGAAATCTAGGTAAGCAATGTCTACTGCACCACCCTGATCTATTATTTTAGTTACCCAATCAAAAAAAATCAATAAGATTAGTTTGGCATGATCTCCCTGAAGTAAACCATGTTGTCACTGATCTTAAAATCCATGTGTTTTTAGATGTTCAACAATCCTATCCTTTAACATGGTTTCCATTACTTTATCCACTACTGAAGTAAGGCTTACTGGCCTATGGTTGCCCGACTCCTCCCTACTACCTTTCTTGTGAATGGGCACAACATTCGCTAACTTCCAATCTTCTGAGACTACTCCTGTTAACAATGATTGGTTAAATAAATCTGTTAATGGTTTTGCTAGTACATCACTAAGCTCTTTGAATAGCTTTGGATGTATTCCGTCAGGTCCCATTGAGTTATTTGTCTTTACTTTTGCCAGTTGAAATAGAACCTCTTCCTCTGTAAACTCACGTGTAACAAATGACACATTTGTCATTTTTTCTAACTGAGGCCCCTTTCCTTCATTTTCATCTGTAAATACTGAACAAAAATATTAACTGAGGCAGTCAGCTAGACCTTTATCCTCTTCTACATACCTTCCTTTTTTGTTTTTAATCTAACTAATCCTTGTTTTATTTTCCTTTTCTCATTTATGTATCTAAAAAATGTTTTGTCCCTTTTTTTTACTGACTGTGCTATTTTCTCTTCTGTGTGTGATTTGGAAGCTCTTATAACTTGCTTAGCCTCTTTCTGTCTAATCTTATAGATTTTTAAAGTATAAAAGTATTGTTTTTGTGTGGTGGGACTCAGTCACTGTTCTTATATTAAACCACACTGACTGATGATCACTGGATCCTAAACTTTCACCTACAGTAATTTCTGATACAAATCTCCATTTGTTAATACTAAATCTAGTATCGCCTCTTTACGAGTTGGCTCCTCAACGACTTGTTTTAGAGACAATCCCAGTAGGGAGTTTAGAATATGTGTGCTCCTGGCACAAGCAGCTATTTTGGTTTTCCAATTCACATCAGGAAGATTAAAGTCACCAATGATGATAACTTCCCCCTTCATTGTCATTTTAACTATTTCCTCAACTAGTAGATTATCTAGCTCTTCTATTTGTCCTGGGGGCCTATAAATCACACCTACAAGATTTAGTGTGTGATTACCAAATTCTAATGTAACCCAAACTGACTACGTTCTCCTCGCTAACTTTTATTAGGCTAGGTTTTATGTTATCCTTCACATACAGGGAGTGCAGAATTATTAGGCAAATGAGTATTTTGACCACATCATCCTCTTTATGCATGTTGTCTTACTCCAAGCTGTATAGGTTCGAAAGCCTACTACCAATTAAGCATATTAGGTGATGTGCATCTCTGTAATGAGAAGGGGTGTGGTCTAATGACATCAACACCCTATATCAGGTGTGTATAATTATTAGGCAACTTCCTTTCCTTTGGCAAAATGGGTCAAAAGAAGGACTTGACAGGCTCAGAAAAGTCAAAAATAGTGAGATATCTTGCAGAGGGATGCAGCACTCTTAAAATTGCAAAGCTTCTGAAGCGTGATCATCGAACAATCAAGCGTTTCATTCAAAATAGTCAACAGGGTCGCAAGAAGCGTGTGGAAAAACCAAGGCGCAAAATAACTGCCCATGAACTGAGAAAAGTCAAGCGTGCAGCTGCCACGATGCCACTTGCCACCAGTTTGGCCATATTTCAGAGCTGCAACATCACTGGAGTGCCCAAAAGCACAAGGTGTGCAATACTCAGAGACATGGCCAAGGTAAGAAAGGCTGAAAGACGACCACCACTGAACAAGACACACAAGCTGAAACGTCAAGACTGGGCCAAGAAATATCTCAAGACTGATTTTTCTAAGGTTTTATGGACTGATGAAATGAGAGTGAGTCTTGATGGGCCAGATGGATGGGCCCGTGGCTGGATTGGTAAAGGGCAGAGAGCTCCAGTCCGACTCAGACGCCAGCAAGGTGGAGGTGGAGTACTGGTTTGGGCTGGTATCATCAAAGATGAGCTTGTGGGGCCTTTTCAGGTTGAGGATGGAGTCAAGCTCAACTCCCAGTCCTACTGCCAGTTCCTGGAAGACACCTTCTTCAAGCAGTGGTACAGGAAGAAGTCTGCATCCTTCAAGAAAACATGATTTTCATGCAGGACAATGCTCCATCACACGCGTCCAAGTACTCCACAGCGTGGCTGGCAAGAAAGGGTATAAAAGAAGAAAATCTAATGACATGGCCTCCTTGTTCACCTGATCTGAACCCCATTGAGAACCTGTGGTCCATCATCAAATGTGAGATTTACAAGGAGGGAAAACAGTACACCTCTCTGAACAGTGTCTGGGAGGTTGTGGTTGCTGCTGCACGCAATGTTGATGGTGAACAGATCAAAACACTGACAGAATCCATGGATGGCAGGCTTTTGAGTGTCCTTGCAAAGAAAGGTGGCTATATTGGTCACTGATTTGTTTTTGTTTTGTTTTTGAATGTCAGAAATGTATATTTGTGAATGTTGAGATGTTATATTGGTTTCACTGGTAATAATAAATAATTGAAATGGGTATATATTTGTTTTTTGTTAAGTTGCCTAATAATTATGCACAGTAATAGTCACCTGCACACACAGATATCCCCCTAACATAGCTATAACTAAAAACAAACTAAAAACTACTTCCAAAAATATTCAGCTTTGATATTAATGAGTTTTTTGGGTTCATTGAGAACATGGTTGTTGTTCAATAATAAAATTAATCCTCAAAAATACAACTTGCCTAATAATTCTGCACTTCCTGTACAAGGCCACCCCTCCCACTTTCTTGCCTTCCCTGTCTTTACTATATAAAGAGTACTGCTATGTCCCAGTCATTTTTCTCATTATACCATGTCTCAGTAACCGAAACTAAATCTACATTATCAGTTGCCATTATTGCCACAAGTTCATGGATCTTATTCTCTAAACTGCGAGCATTTGTAGACAGGACTCTAAGCTTATCATTTTTTTAACACACTTGCTACAGGTACCTTTTATCCTTGTTTTGGGGGGCAATTGGATTAACGTTTTATCACCCTTTTGCCCCTCCCTAGTTTAAATACAGTGCCTTGCAAAAGTATTCACCCCCCTTGGCATTTTTCGGGTTTTGTTGCCTCACAAGCCTTCCCCTCCCCAGCTACATCCCAACCGGGTCCTGGGGGCAGTGGATGAGCCTGCGATACCCAATGACCCCCTTGCAGCAGAAGAGCTGGCATCAGGGCAGAGCACTGTTAGCCTCTGCCCTCCCTTTTCCCCTTGTCCAGAGCCTGACTTCCTGCAGGCTACCCCAGCGGAAGAGCTGGCATCAGGGCGGAGAGCCGCTGGCCTCTGCCCCTCAAGTACCCCCAGCTGTTTGCCTAGCTGCACCAAGAAGACCGAGGATGATGAATCTTCACGCTACAACCTGGTATCTACAGGCCAGTACCATTTATTGCTAATTTTTATTTGTGGGTGGGTTGCTCGACTAACTCAGGCACTGACTGACAGAAGGTCAGGTACCTGGTTAGACTCCCCCTAAAAGGGAAGATGTGTGACGAAGTGCCTTTTGCCACTTGTGCCTGGAAAGGACTTATTGCCAGCCTCCTGCCATGTGACTATGGTACCTGGGAGACTTTGCCAGTTAAAAACATTATTTGGGCTTATTGGATTTTGAAACACTTTTTCTGCCCCTTTGATTCCATGGGAGAATGTGCATCTTCCCCTCCCCCTTTCCTGTCCCATTGTTCTCCAGCAGGGCGTTGTCCCAGGGACACTGCCAGACCAGTTTAAACTGGCTACTTTGTCCCTCCTCAATCTCTCATCAGCCCTTGCAAAACTTTAACCCCATGGCAAATTAACTCTGTTCATGGGATCTGAGTGCTGTTCACCTATATTGGGCGCTCAGATTCTGTGTAATATAATAGGAATTTTGTATTTTTACTGTTAGTGTAAAATGTAGATATTTTCTGTACCTGGAGATAATTGAGTTTACAGCAGTACCTTAAGCCAATTATCTCCAGGATAGAAGGGAGGGATTTTACGGTGTATGTGGGAGTGTTATTTTGTTAATTAGTGTTTCCATTGGTTTGTGTCCCTTTTGTCACAGTTTAACACCAGGTCCAGGGGGTGTGCCTCTGGCCTGAAAACTTGTATAAAAGAAAGCCCTTTGGTGCTGATTTAACAGACCTGCTTGACCCTTTCTTGAAGCTTTGGCTCATGCTTGGGGGATGGAATAACTACACTCTGGGGATTGCTATAATCACACTATACTCCCCAGAGTAAGCTCTTGTAAGAGCTGTTCTTGTTCCTGCTACGCTCTCTGTATTAGATGAGAACTGGGAGTTGGATCCTGGTCTTGGGTCCAGGGTGGGTGGAGGACAGCGAGACCACGGCACAGCTGCATCGCTGGAAGTGGGGTCTGCAGTGCTTATGGTGTCACGTGGAGTGCTTTGAGTCCTCGGCAAGCACTGGGAGCATCGATTGGCGGAGTGCCAGCATTCCGTTACAGTATCTCTTTGAAGTAATCGAACAGCTCTATCACCACCTCGCCTGGAGATGGGAATATGGTCAATTGCCACACATTTAAGAGAAGCCAAAGGATGTTTGTGTTCCAAGAAATGTTAACCGCATCACAAACAAAATCACAGGGTTCCTGCACAAAAACAATTTCTCCAGCAAAGAGCTGCAGTCTCTCCTGGGCTTCCTGAATTTCGCGATCCGCATCATACCACAGGGCTGCGCGTTCATTTCACACTTACTACACCTCCTAACGGAAGCCCCTCATGACAATACTTCCATTCTCAGCGACAATAACGCCAAAGCAGACTTACTAATGTGGGGATTTCTCTCCTCCTGGAATGGGAGATCAATGTTCATACCCCCACTTGACGAGGAATCTCCAGTCATATGGACTGACGCAGAAGCCCACACAGGATTAGCGGCTGTATACCAAAACCAGTGGTTCTGTGACTCATGGCCCTCAGAAACCTTAACTTTACAGGTCTTTAATACCACATCCACGCTATTCCAACTCTATACAATAGTAGCAGCATCACACACTTGGGGTTCGTTATGGGAGGGCAAAGCAGTCAAATGCCTCTCCGATAACGAAGCCACATGTGAGATCATAAACAAAGGCAGATCACTAGTCATCATGAGACTCATGAGGAGACTCACATGGCTAGCAGCAACACACAACTTTCATTTGGTTTGCATGCACGTACTGGTCGGGAAAACATCACAGCTGTTGCTCTCTCTCGCTCCGACTTTCAGGCCTTTTTCAAACAACACCCCACAGCAGTTGGGTGACCCCAACATTCCAGGACCTGATATTGGACTAAAGTTGCTAAAACAACACTCCCTAACCCTGGCGAAATCCGCTCTGTCAGACAACACCAGAAAGTCCTACAACAGAGCACTTACCATATTCTCCAGGTTCACGTCCGAACACCACATCACCAACACCTTTTCTATCGACACCTTTGCCTTAACCGCTCACTGCCACTTACACCTTAAGCTGGCACATAACACCATTAAGCTCTACCTCACAGGTGTACAACATCACCTAATCACCTTATTCCCATTTCACAAACCATTTATGTCATCCTATCACCTGAAAAACGTCCTAAAAGGCATACTTCGCACGGACGTCCCTTCCGACAGCTAAAAGGCAACCAATTGACGGGGAAAAATTCAAGGCTCTATCAGATTTGTTGGATTCCAACCCATTCGAACCCAGAACTAATGGCATACTCAAAGCAGCAATGAACATTGCATTTTACGGGTTCCTAAGACCCAATGAATTCACAGTGAGTAGACTATCCGGTAACCCAAGTTACATCAGAATAAGGGATCTACATAAACAAGGGGACCACTATGTACTACAACTAAGTCATTCTAAGACAAATTCAGTTGGGCCCCCTGACACAGGTCTTGTACTTTCTGACCCATAATAAACGGTGTCCAGTGTCAGTCCTGGATACCTTTTGCCTCTCCCTCACTGATCAACAAAGCTACTCACCCTTACTCACAATTTCCGACAAACCCCTGACCACTGCGAAATTTGTACACTACGTAAGGGCCATGGCCGTCAGACTAGGTCATGACCCAATGTCCATCTCAGGGCACTCTTTTAGGATCAGCACGGCTTCAGCCTCATCCAGCAAAAACGTCTCTGTACACATTATCAAAATATAGAGATCAAAAATCGGATCTCCCAGTGGAAAAACACTCTTTGGAAAAAGGACACACGTTACCGACTTTAAAATTAATGGCCATTCGATACAATTTAGAGTCTTCTTCCGATATGATTATTTGATAAGATGTGTTTAGGTGATAAACCTCCTTTTTATTTGATAGATCTTGTTTAGATGTTTTTATGTTCTATTTTGTCCCTTCCTACAAAGATGCACAGTTATATTTTGACTAATAATTTTTGCTCCTTTATGAAAAGATGACAAACAGGGGCTTTAATGAATAAATGCTTTTAGGTGACATGCCCCTCTTAAGTTATTATAGTCCTCTGATGCACTTGCACATATATATTCTATGAATCTAGACTGAGACCACTCAGACTAGTGCACTTACATATCTATCACAATTTTTTGTGACAGATATAATTTGGAGTTTTTTAAGCTTTTAGACTTTTACTGATATGTGTTTAGACGATATGCCCCTTTTTTACTCAATGTATTTTTTTTATTGATGCTTACTATGTCTTCATCTGTTCCTTATGATTCTGTTACCTAGGCTATGTGGAGGTAGACACATACCTCCAGTTGATTAGAGAAGATTTAAAAACACAAGCCCAACAGAACTCACTCATGCTTGAGAAAATCTCAAGAGGCAGGGCGAAACGTGTAGCATGCTGAACCCGGAAGTCACTACACGTGGATGGAGAGTCTGTGATCAGGTGGAATACACAGTGGGATAGAACTTGGATGGTTTATCCACTGAAACCCAGGACTAAATTTGATCTACTCCTACACTACTTATTATTTTTACTACTGATATATTCGATTGCTTTGGAATTAAAGAAATATAATTTTATACTTCAACCCTTTAGCTGAGAG